CCTGAGATGTATTTTTCAATATGGAAAGTACGTTGAGTTCTGAGTGGAACCGACCTAGATCTGAGGGTCAAGTTCACCAACTGTGACTCTTAATTACTGCTTGCTTCTCCGATCCTCAGTGTCTTCTGTAGGCTTGGAATATCTACTTTTATTTTTTTCCTGAAGATTAAAAGACAATATGTGAACAAGCCTACTGCACACTCAACGAAGTTAGCTAATAGCATTTTTGCGTTATGTAGCTGTCATCCTTAATGCCTTAAATCCAAAAGTTTAAAGATGCGAGAGAAAACGGCAGAATGCCTCCTCGTTTTCCAGACCCCGTGTGGGGTTCCCTTTGCCTTCTCTGAGGAGTAAAGATGCTTTTTGTGTGGAAACCTTACCTGTACATGGATTTCTCATCGTGAAACTGAAAATAGGGATTTGTTCCTCTCATACAGCTCTTCGAGTACATACTCTCCTAAGTGAGATGTGGTTTGCGCCGGTTGGTGGCACCCACTGGCGGAGAGGTCGTCGCGCAGAGCCTGTTCTGCCTGCCCACACGCCACCGTGCAGAGCAGTCTGGGACCAGGAAAGCTTACCTGTATTTCCCAGAAGTGAGTGCTGTTTCCTTCATCCCCCAGAAGTGTTTACTGCTCTGGGGAAGTGGGAGAGGGAAGGAATTCTACCATGCCCTGGTCCGGGTTTGGCTGGTGCTGAGCTGGTGATGAAGAGATGTTGTAAAATGGGGGCGTCTGGACCCACCAGACTTGGGAAAGCGAGGCCCAGCTCCCTTAACCTGAGCTTTAAGTCACGAGATGTTGCCGAGCCTTTACTGTCTAAGCGAAGCGCGTTGCGAGTGGGAGTGGGGGTGGGCGTGGCCAGAGGTGGGGAGAGCGCTCACTCGGTGCACAGCACTTGTCGAACTTCACTGGGCCCTGGGGCCCTTTTTCCTCCGAGCCTCTGGTGTCCCCTGGAGTCCTCCGTGGAAATGGTCCTCTGGCCAGCGTAGCTCAAGGGCAGCGCTTCCCTGTGGCGCCCCCTCCTGGGGGCTTTGTAAGAGCAGGGGCCTCACTCATGCTTGTGGGTGGCGGTGGGTCCTAGATGTCACGCGTTGGGCGGAGTCTGTCGTCATGGTATCAGTGCAGGTTCCTTACTGTGGGTGGCGCCACCCTGTAGACCACGTCGTTTTGCCATAACAGTGATGTTAGAACAGATACAAATTTCCCGGGGACCTTAAGAAAACCCCAAAGATACGGCGAGGCTCCATCCACTCTGGTCTGCTTTTTGGTCAAAGGCACAGTTTGCTGTCTTCCTGCACTTGGGGTGCCTTTGAGAACCTGGTGAGCGCCCTGGATGGATTTTCTCTCTGGGGACACACGCGCACTGACTTTCGTGCCTGGCTGCGTGGTACTTAACGGCCCTCATCCACACCCCGAGCCTGTGGGTCTTAATCCAGCAAGAACTCCTGAATTAGGTTTTCCCAAGTGGGAATTTCATGTCCAGCAGGACTTCAGCCCGGAGTCTGGCCATCTGTGTACTCCATTAATTGCTTGGCTGCGGGAGAGCAGACTGTACTGCGTTTGAAGAAGGTGCATGCGGGCACGGGCCAGAGAAGCCCGAAGAGGAAGTGCGGCCAGTCCTGAGATGATGGTTATTTCGTGTGTCTTCTCAAGATGGCAGGTTTAGGAGCTGACACCTTAGAGCATGGCTCTTAAGGAAAAGGGGCAGTTCCCCCCGACCCCCACCATTTGTCAACCTGGAGACGCTTTTGGTTGTCACCATGAGGGCAGGGGAGGGTGACGCTGCTGGCTTCGTGTAGGTGGAAGCCAGGGATGCTGCTGAGCATCCTGCAGTGCGTGCGACAGCCCCACCCAGCAAGGGCGGTCTGGGCCCAGAGTCCGCAGTGCGGAGGCTGATCGGCCTCAGAGTCGAGCTGCTGCTTTCTAGATTGTATCTTTCTTCGGCAGTGATATCAGAATACGGAGGTCTGCATTTTTATTTACATGTGATGCTTCTTGGTAGAGATGTAGGTGGAAAGAGGTGATGATGAGATGGGTAGGAAGTGAATAAGCCAGGTTGGTATTTCAAAGAACTTTCCTTTCCCAGAAGTGTTGGGGTTTAAAGAGGATTTCAGCTCTGAGATTAGTTCACCTCGCACTTCCTCCTGCTGGCTTGGACATGGGAAACCACCTCCTGTTCGCATTGCCTTCTCTTACCTCGCTCTTGAACCTGTGGCTTTCTGTCTGTTATACTGTAAGGGATGAATGCCAAAGTCATTTAAAAAATTGTGGCCCTATAAGGGGATTTTATTCCCACAACCCCATATAGCAGTTTGGTAAAGATGATGGAGATAGAAAAGGTACATATTTTATTTGCCAAAAGTGGGCAGAGTTTCCTTTGTTTCCCAGAAGTGCTCACCCTGGGGAGTGGGAGGAGGAAGGGATCCGCCATCATGTGCCGAGCTGTCGTTGTGAAGTGGGGGTGTCCATACCCCACAAATGTGGGGAATCTAGGCTCAGCCACCGTTTAAAATCCTGGTTTTTGGATTGTGAGCCTTGCAGAACCTTTAGTGAGTTAATAAGTATGTTGGCGGGGTAATGGGGTGCACACAAGTGGCATTTCTTAAACCTCATTAGACCTGGGACCCTTTTTCCTCCGAACGTCTCTGGTGTCCCCTGGAGTCCTCTGTGGAAATGGCCCTCCGGCCAGCGTAGCTCGAGGGCAGCGCTTCCCTGTGGCGTCCCCTCCGGGAGGCTTGTACGAGAGGCTGCGAAAGTGTGTAAGGAGTTCCTCCCAGCCCCCACAGGGCTCCACGAAATACAGTTTTGTTAAGGGGTGCGTCTGTCCGCTTTTATCAAGCCTGGGGAAAACAGTTGCTGTTTTTGTCAGAGGGGTTGTTTCCCTCTCAACTACAGAAGTGAAAACCATTTCCCTGGTCTGGAGAGAATGGCAGGAAGAGCCGCGTTTTTTACTGCAAAGACGGTTGTTTCTCGTGTGGTCTGCAGGGACTTCCTTTATTGTTCTCTCTCTGAGGGGTGAGCAAGGTGGCCCAGGTGGTCCCGCTCCTGCATTTCGGGAGTTCTCGGCTAAAAACGTCACACACACCGACCTCTCATACGGCACCCGGGGTGCCTGGGGCCCTGGCAGGACCGCCTCATCTCTCGTCCGCTTCACACGCTCGGCTCTTCACGTGGTCCTTGTTTCTTCTCGCCGCTCTCGTGGAGCCCAGGACACCGTGACACTGCAAGGATGGTGTTGTACCCACTAGTCAGGCGCAGGGGATGGTGTACCGAGTGACAGTTCCCACTTTATCCATCCCCCTGGTGAGACCTGCCAGCCCTGTGGATCCTGAGTCCTTCCAGCTAGCAGCGAAAGGAAAATGACAGGGAGCGGGAAACACTGCCATGTCTCCGTTCTCCCCTCCTCCCCATTCAGGATCCCTCGCTGCTGCCCCGGCTGCGGACTGTTCGGGACACCCGGACGCACGGTCTTCCTCACTAGCTCGTTGCTCATTGTCCCAGCGGCGGCCCTGCTCTCCTGCCCTCCCCACTGCAGACCCTGGTGCTTTGGGTTTACAGGGCTTTATTGAGGAAGCAGTGGGTTTTCTCTGTTGACAGCCACCTGGGGCCACTCCCTCAAAGTCTGGGGTGAGAGAAGTGTGAGAAGGGGCCACCGAGGGGCAGGAGCATCTTGGAGGCAGAGTGTGAGCAGGTGTAGTGCCGGAAGACACACCGGCACCTCGCCGGGTGTTCTTGGTTCCCACCTCAGCTCGGTGCAGTTTGTATCTGTCTGCGCCCAACACAGCTTGCTCAGGCCCCCCACACACACATACACTGAGTGAGTGACCAGATCAGGGTCCCCTCTTCTCTCTGATTTCCAAAGCCTCCGGCCTTCCCTCCCCACCACACCCCGCTCCCCATCGGCACTGGCGTTGGGGCTTGCAGGGCAGAGCGCTGGCACTGGTGCCCGTCCTTCTGCCGTCACCTGCACCGGGCATTTCCAGAGGGTGGTTTGGAAGTGCTGCATGGGCCCCAGAACGTTACCACCTGCAGAACATAGAGGAAAAATGGGGACAGTCCGGGAGGTAGGCTGCCCCCCATCAGGCAGTAGCAGGGTCATGTCCACACTGCGGGTCCTTTTGAATAATGCTGTGGGACAGATGCTGCAGTTTGAACATTGTGCGCCAGGCTCCTGAGTTGGGGTTTGGGACGGAGTCTTACAGGGGCTGCGCCCATAGGCAGTTGTCACTCCTTTCTGGGCACGACTCTTCAACTTCCCCTGCTCAGTGAGCTTCCAGTTAGTTACTCGACAGGAGCCTGAGAAGGGAAAATCCAGTCATGTGTAATCTCCAGTTAATGGGCATCTATTGAACAGCTAGGTCGCCAGGAAGAATAATTGCACAGTGCCTCTTTGTGCGGTAAACAGAGACCCAAAAGCTAATGCATTCCTAAGGCCAGCCAGATTGTCACTGGCCAGCAGCATCCCCCTCTCCAGGGACAAGGCCGGGGCACCCACCACGCCTGCTAGGGCGATCTTGACGGCAGTCCAGAAAAACGGGCCTGTCAAGGGGGAGAGGGAAAGGCTGGGGGTGGGGGGCACTTCCAGGGCTTTGTCGGCTCTGCTTGCTGATGGCCAGCTGGGCTGGATCACTGAACCACAGACGTGCTAGTGGGTGTGTTGTGCAGCCATTGGGAACTGGCCGGGCTCGGGGGCTCTGACCACAAGCAGGAGAGTCACGGTGGTAACAGGTGGAGCCCCAGCCCAGTGCCCGAGTTCAGCCGTCTCCTCGGTCAGCTCGACCGGCAGAGAAGTGAGAGTCTGTCCCACCGCCGACTGCGGGTTTGTGGCCAGTGAGCACAGCCTGCGTGACCCAGAGTAGCACGTGTTAGCCATGAGCCAGATGAGCTCTCGGGTCTGTGTCGGTACACTCCAGTGTGGGTCTTCAAAGTTGTATTTTGAAGTAGTTATTTAGGATTTGCAAAACTTGGCATAATTCAAATAACCTGTTTTTCCCCCCTTAGAACACTTCAGTTATGGAGGATCAAAATGAAGATGAGTCCCCCAAGAAAAATACTCTTTGGCAGGTAGGAACGACCGCGCACAGATAAGATAGCAGTCGCCTTACTGTAGAGAAGATGCTCCCGCAGCCGTGACCTCAACGAAAGCAAGGGCCAGGCAGTCGGGGAGGTGTTGTGGTTGTTTTTTGTGCTGTAGCTACTCTGAGGACTCACCCTTCTGTTCCTTAGGGAGGTATCGCTGTGAATAGTACAGATACTGGAATTTTCACAAAGGTTCCGAAGGGCCTGTAGCCCAAGATGTTCTCTGTCCACTGTCTAAGCCAAAGGCGGACAGTGGTGGTGTCCCTTGTCACCAGAACGGCGTCATACCGCACACCAGCATATATGCTTTGATGAGTCTCCCTCTGCCACCCTTCCTCCTCACTTCTGCGGCTCGGCCCTTTTCAGCTCTGTCCTCTGCTCTCCGGGCTCTCTCTGAGCTCCCCAGGTTTTTATGGGGTGGGGGGCCGAGCGTGTGAAGTTCCGTGCTTCACTGTTGTCGTCAGTCATCATGGTGCAAATCATTTTTCCCTTCGTGAGGACTCGAAGGTAGAACGCATCTAACTCTGAAGAGAATATGGTAAAATTCTCTAGGTTTGATTTGAAACAAGGGTAGATTAGTGAGCAAGAACGAAGTGTCCCAAACAAATTTAAGATGAAAAGAGACAAAGCTTGGCCTGGCTGCTGTGGCTCAGTGGACTGAGTGCAGGCCTGCGAACCAAGGGGTTGCTGGTTCGATTCCCGGTCAGGGCACATGCCTGGCTTGCAGGCCAGGCCCCCAGTAGCAGGCATGCAAGAGGCAACCACACACTGGTGTTTCTCTCCCTCTTTTCTTCTTCCCTTCCTCTCTCTCTAAAAATGAATAAATAAAACTTAAAGAAAGAAACAAAGCAAACCAGTTCCAGGAATATCTTTCTGGGCCGGGCAGGCGGTGAGGAGCGGAGATGTGCCTGAGTCCAGCCTTTGCCGCTGGGTTTCGGGGATCTGTGTACAGACCGCCCTGCGTCCCCCCGTCTCATTCGGCGTTCGTGACGGGAGTGTCTTCATTCACCGTTGACCTTACAGTTCACGGTGGCTCTTAGTGAACACGCTGGCTTTCAGTTTTTCCTCTCTGTCCTCCATGCAGCTGGTTAACGGCACGCACAGCTCCAGGAGGGACGAATGGGTAGAAGCCTTTTGCTTATCAAATGAGACATGGCCACGGAAGTGTTTTGTAAATTATAAAGCAGTAGAGGCCAATGTACTGTGTTATTACATCACTCCATCTAACCTGTTATGAGAATAATTACATGGTATTTTGGCAAGTTCTTATGAAAAAACATAGTAAACAGAGGGGAGGAAAACATGCGTAGCTTTCTTTCTCCAGATTAGGCACTTTGAATGTGTGTGTGTGTGTGTAGGCTTTCAACGCCGCCCCCTTCACAGACGCTGCGGTCGGGCTGCGTAAAACCCTGCATCTCATCTTGTGTTCCTTCTTGTTACTTCATAAACATGTTCTCTTGTTACTTATTTTTATAACCCTCATTTCAATGGCTATATTATAGTGCTGTTGATGTATTATAATTTGTTTTAACCAGTTGCCTGTAATTGGTCAGTTATTTCTAATTTTTCTCTATTATAAACATTATGATGAATGATATTCTGCATAAAAGTAGCAAAGATGCTCCTTATCCCAGTCGATACCACAGTGACGAGTTTTCGCGTGCTCTGACTGGTTTGGAGTACTGATTTTTTGAGCTCTGAATAAACCTTAAAAAGTCTGTTTGGTGCTGCCCTCTGGTGGTACCCGGTGTCAGTGGGACCTCCCTCACTCCCATTCCAAGGGCGAAAACATTCCTAGATAAAGGCGGTGTGCTTCAGGGTCAGACAGAAGGGGTGGGAGGTGAATGCCCTCAGCTTCCTCCCCTCCATGTGGACATCAGAACTTTCCTCTGACGGGCAAGGCTTACAGGAGTTTGCCAGGGAAGGCGTTTACCAAGGACGGCCTCTTCCTGGAATGGATCGGTTCAGCCCACTTCCAGTTAGGGGCAGACTGATGGCAGAGCTCTTGTTTTTTCTGTGTGAGACTTCCGAGAGTAGCTCCTGGTGTCACTGTGTGTGTTTGTGATACAACCCTGCAGTGTTTAAAGCTCTCAGACATGTCACTCCTGGTGTGACGCGTGTGGGGGGGGCTGTCAGAGAGGGCGGCCCACGGGGCTGGACCAGTGCTGGGTGGAGGCATCGAGGCGCCTTCCTTTTTAAACAGGGGAGTTGCAGGGCCTCGTGGCAACAGTAGCCATGGTGGTTTCAGTCTAGGGATGCAGATTTTTTTCTTGTGAATACTGCTGCTCAGATGCAGTGAATGTAGTTTCAAAGTTTTGAAAAACATGCTGGTTTTATACACGGACCATGTGGATTTGATGAGAGAAGCAGTTAGCATGGGAGTGGGGTATGTCCACACCTCCCGCATAAATGGAGGGGCTGTCAGGCATCCTCGTGGTGCGCCGGGTCACCTTCCGAGTCGGCGAACCAAAGAAGGGAGAGGCCTAGGCATTCTGCCAGCACTCTGTAGCCCTGGCAACAAGGTGGACATAAGGCCTGTTGGGCAAAATTAAGCTTTCTAGATGCAGTTGCCTTCGGGTTTCTCTGTTTGGGAGATGGTGGTTTCCAGTGTGGTCCGCAGCCTCAGCATCACTGGGAACTCCATAGCAATGCGGATTCCCAGGTGCCACTCCAGACCAGTAGAATCAGAGGGTCTCTGGTGGGGCCCGCTTATCAGTGTGTTAAGAGGCCCTTGGTAATCCTGGCGTGCGAGGACCATCGGCGCAGGCAAAGCATTCACTTTCAGCTTTGAGGAAGCAGAACCGTCGGCTGCCCCTGCGCCAGGTCGGGCTGTTTCTCGTGGACGGCCCTCTCCCACACTAGTCCTCTGAGAGCCGCGTGGTTTGGGAACACGCACTGGAGGGCGACAGTGTAAGACATCATGGAGCTTCGGAAAGAGCTGTAACTTTGGCGTTCACTTCTGAGACTACTTTGAGGACATGAGCTCTGAATACATTTTTAATTACTTCTTGAAGGAATTAATAAAGGGATGAGTGGCTTTAGGGTAAAACTGGCATTTTGAGATTAAATACACAGAGTGAAAAATGTTTCTAATGAAATGCCACACTAGCTTTTTTTGCTTGTCAAACTAATTAGTTCTTTGTTTTCCTAAAATAGATAAGTAATGGAACATCATCTGTGATCGTCTCCAGAAAGAGGCCGTCAGAAGGAAACTATCAAAAAGAAAAGGACTTGTGTATTAAATATTTCGACCAGTGGTCCGAGTCCGATCAGGTGGAGTTCGTGGAGCACCTCATTTCCCGGATGTGTCACTACCAGCATGGACACATTAACTCCTACCTGAAGCCCATGTTGCAGCGGGACTTCATTACTGCCTTACCAGGTAACTCCACTCGGCTTTCCAGGCCGCGGAAGGACGCCCAGCCCAGGGGCCTCGGTGGCGCTGACTCAGCGTCTGTCAGCGGAGTGGGTGGGGACAGAGCCAGGCGGCTCTCTGGGACCCCCGCGGCGCTTCAGTTGAGCGGCATTGGAGGGCCCGCTCTGACGGAGCGTCTGTCCAGGAAGTGGGGGGTTTCTCTGATTACGGGGGCGGGCCTTTGGTCAGTGCTGCGTTTTCCATCTGTCTGACTATGATTGCCGACCTGTTTTCTTTATGGGGTCTTTGCAGTCTGCATTTTGGCGTTATAACTAATTTTTTTTTTAAAAACATGGAAGTGTTTTCCCTCTGCTCCTTGTGCTTGGGAAGTTCCGGGTGGTCATTGGCGTCTGAAGTGACCCACAGGGATGGCGGAAACCTACCGGGAAGCTGACAGCGTGTCCTCATCCCGGAGTTAGGTCTGTGCCCTTCCTTGGTGCCTTGCTCCGCCGTGCGCATGCTCCCTGCCCTCACGCCTCTGGTTCGGTTTACTCTGAGTTGTTGTCAGGTGGACTACTTGATAGCGTAGTTTCCACCATACGTGGACTTGCACGGGCGCATCGTTGTCACCCAGCCCACACTGACCTCGGGTTCACTTGGGTGTTTCGATTGGGCGGATTTGGGCAGGTGTGTAATGACATGTCTGTACCTTCACCTTGTCCTGCAGAGGGTTTCCCTGCTCTGAGAATCCTGTCTGCTGCCGGTTCACCCCCTTCGATCGTCGATCACTCATTCATTCTCTTCTCTTTTTTCTTATTCCCATCTCTTTCCGTCATCTTTTTGTTTTTCTTCCTTCCTTTCTTTTTTTAAAATTAAAACATTTGACTTATGTCTGGTTTAGGTAAGCTGTAAGGGTTCCATTCCTGAGGAGCATACTGGCAGAACGGCGTCCTCCACCGGGGCCAGCGTGGTCCGGGGCTCACGGCTGCCGTGCCAGGCTCGGCCTCCGAACGGCCGGGGAGGGACCAGGCCCTGCCACCGCTCCTGCCCCGTCGGAGCTTCTGAGCCGCTGCTCGGTGGGCAGCCGGTCACTCGGCCTCTCTGGGACCAGCAGTGCGGCGGGGCTGCGCGTTCTAGGTGCTTCCGCAGCGGCAGGGCCTGGGCTGAGGTCTCAGACCACACCCCGGGGCCACAGCTTGACGGGCCAGCTCCTGATTTCTGATCCCGCCGCACGTTTCCTTTCTGCAAGGGCAGTGTTTAAGGATATCGAGAGGTAGCTCAGACTGTTTGACTGTGTTGTTGTTTTTGTGCTGAAATACACTGCTTGCCCCACTTCATTCATCAGTGTTTCTAGGAGAGCAAAATGCAATTCAGGAATCATAGTATTTAACAGCCCCAAAGAATCTCAGCCGTCACCAAATCCTCTTTGTCATCGTGTAGATGAGGGAGCCGAGGATCAGAGAGCGTGGGTGAGATGCCCAGGGTCTTCCATCTGGGGCATTGTGGTGACTGCAGGTTGGTTCAGAAATCAGTGCGAAGGCGGCAGTTGTCCACAGGTGAGAGGACTCGGCAGTTCCTCACATCAGCCTGAAGTATGGAGACGTGGTTTGCAACGTAGTTCGGCAGTGGGTATTTGTAATCGTGAGAGGGAGGGGCTTGGAGGGCTGGAGGTGGTGTTAAGTAAGGTGGGCGCTCACGGGACACAGGCCTTCGTGTGTGCAGCTCCAGAACCCGGAGCCCACGGACTCCGGCTGCGTCTCGCCAGGAAAAGTCAGGGTAGCTTCTGACACCGGCAGTTGTGCTTGCTGTTCATAAGAGTGTTTAACTAAACGAAACTATGCCTCCATTGTTCTTGAGCAGATCTGTTCGTTTATTTTTGTTGTTGTTGCTTGCTTTCTGCTGGTTGGATCTTATTTTATTTTCCCCCGTATTTTGCTTCTCAAATATTTTAGGGCCAGGGAACTCACCTGATGTTTACAGAATGTCCACGAGGTGGCACTGTTGTTCTCTTGATTTGTAGAGTATGGTTCCGAGGCAACCCCCTTTTCTTGGGGAGGGTACAGTCTTGGAGAAGAGACAGAACAGATGAACATGTGTTATGTATATAAATATGGTTAGCATAATTGCATGCAATCCAGTTTTCATTATGGCGAATTTAAAGGTATTGTCCGTATCTCTGTTAAAGTGGAATTTTGTGGTATTAAGTATTACATGAAAGGAATGGACCATTGGCTGGGCCATGGAAATATTTTTGTTAAAATGCTATTTGTTTTAACAGGATTTGATCTGAACATATATACATATGTCAGTGTATATCATACATGGGACGCTAATGGCTGGGGACAAGCCAGCCAGGTTGATTGTGTTAGTGTCTAGTGGCCGTGCACCAGACCCAGCACTAGTTCCTGAACACAGACCCCAACGCACCAGCACCAGGTCCACGCGAATGTCCACACGTGGACGGGGCCGTGTGCGGAGCAGCTCACTGGCCACTGTCCTGCTTTGGTGTTTAACCTTTACGGTAGATGGTCTCGAGTTTGAATTCTTACTCTGCTGAAACTGACAGTCAGCTCCAGACCTCTTTTGGTTGTAAAAAACCATTAATTCTGTAAAAATTGTTCGCAGCTTTGCCTTTTTGATGCTTACGGTGAATAGCATACCTGTCAGTATTGGGAGAATGGAAAAATGGTTGTGGTCTCTGGCTCCTTTTGGTTCAGTGGAGAAAGTGATCATTATGATACGGTTTTCTAAAAATTGTGGTAAATGTTTAGTCTGCGATGTCAATTTCTGCAGGCCAAGTTTGTGGTTTGTAAGGACGGTTGTTAAAGGGGAAAATTATGCCGTTTGAAGTAGAAATGGATTGTACTTTAAAAAGGATGATAAGCGTTGATGAGCCACTTGGTGAGGTGTCCAAGCAATTCAGAATGTGAAACATTGAGCCTCTTGGCTGTGGTTCACTAATTTGTTGTATCCCCAAGTAAGGGCGATAAATCATTGAGGACGGGAACTGTGACAGGGACTAGGTTGGAGGTCCCGGGAGTGGGGAAGAAGCCAGAGGAAGACCAAGGCTCCGGGCGGGGTGCAGGGCTGAGGCCCAGCCCGGCCCACGGGGGTGCTCGTTGGATTCTGACAGCCCTCAAAGTGAGCCCCGGCCCTTGCACAGACCAGGTCTCCGAGCTTTTCACAGACCCACTTTTCAGACCCTCTGTTCCCTTATCTTTGTGCGAATAATAATAATAATAGTTCAAAGGATATTGTGGAGATTAAAGAGTGTCTAATATGCCTGGCATCTGGTGGGTATTCTGAGGATGGCAGCTTGGGGGGGAAAAAAAGCCCAGAGAGACAGGAAACACCTGCTTCTCCAGAGGTAATAAGATTTATTGCCAGGAAGTTTTTATTATTCCCCCACTAATTTCCGAACTGATTCATCCTGACATCATAGAGGTAGGTGTGTGCGGCACTTTGTTGGCACAACACGACGTTGGACTTTGTGACCCGGGCATCATGTCACTTCGTTTCTCTCTGGTTCCTGAGGCCAGTACATTCCAAGTTCAAGGCCTGCCTTGACAGACTGCTGTCAGCAACTGCCTTTTGTTTTGTTTGGGTTTCTCACTTCAGATTTTACAGCTGCGCCGATCTCTGCGACTGGGAAGGGGGAAGGGACGGCAGGGTGGGTGGGGAAGGAAGCTCCTTTGCAGCTGCTCTGAGACGCGTCTGAAACAGTGAAAGTTGCTGTAACTGTATGAGCTAAGCAGCTGTGTTAGAGTTGGCTGTAGTCAAGGGCACCGGCCTGACATTACACATTGGAGTTTCATTTTGATGCAGTGTTATTTACATATTGAGCTTTGAAATCTGTGCCTTTTAATTGTTTTAATTTATTGTTGAAATGTTTCCAGACCTTCATCTGGTGCCTGTAATTAGCTACAGCGGCCCTTCTTCGGCACCGGGAGGGCAGGATTCTGCCTTACTTCCCGAGGCCACGGTGCAGTGCGTCCTCCTGTTGCCTTGGGGCGGGGGTGGGGGTGGGAGATGGGCAGTGTCCCCTCCACAGAGCAAGTGAGAGCCAGGGACTGGAACTTGACAGGATGCTTAGTTGGAACACCACAGAGCACGTTTTAACCCGGGCAGACGGACCACCCTATTCAGTGACTTCTTCATCCCAAATAGGCTTGAAACAGAACATCAGGAGGTCTGCCGTAGCTTCTGGGGGCAGCTGCTCATGGGCGCTCAGACGGAGTTTGTGTGAGTGCTAGTCTTCAGACACCTAGGGAGCCGGAGACTTCCGACCGAGGTGTCAGAGGGGTCAGCACTTTGCTGGAGGAGGTGTGTGATGTTTCTCTGACAGTCACAAGGAAGTGCAGGGGATGCTGCTGCTTGCTTAGCTTCCTCCGTCACCTGTATCAGCCTTAGGGGACCCGGGACCGAGGGAAGCGCAACCGAGGGACACTTAATGGGGCCTGGTGTGTATCCGGCTCCTTAGCAACCTCCTCGTGTGAGCCTCCCCGCCCGGTGTAGGACATTCCTTCTCGAAACCGAGGCCGTTGAGAGCGTCTCTCTCACGGGGTGAGCGGGCACGTTACTGGGGGTGATCCGTCGCGAGGGTTTAACACCGCGTCTGTTTGATGGGAGACTGGGTCCGAACAGGAGCCCTGATTTGTTCCAGCCCAGGTTGTCCAGTCTGCAGCCAGTGCCTTTCCCAAGAAACGGGACACGGGCTGCCTCCTGGAGGCTGCCTCCTCGGGGGGTGGAGGGAATTTAAAGCGTTGTCCGAAGGAAGTAAATCTCACGGAATCACTGGATCGTTGCGGAATCGGGGTGACGGCATGCGGGAGGGGAGTGTGTGTCCGTGAGCGGTCTCCTGGGCAGAGACCCCCCGAGAGCCCACGGCGAGCTCCCCAGCGGGGACGGTGGGTGCTGTGCAGCAGCGGCTCCCGGCGCGTCAGGACTGCCCGCGGGCTCCTCTTCACCACAGATCCCTGGCCTCCCTCCGAGGCTGCTCACTCAGGAGTAGATCAGGAGAATGTCCGGGACTCGGTGTTTGTCACCGTTGTCCTGGCTGGTTTTTAAAATCACTAACCTGGAGTGACTCGTCCACGACACACAGGCTTCTGAGAACCTGTGCACAGAGCACGCCGCCAGGTGGGGGATTTGGACGGTGTGCGGGCAGTGGGGATGTTGCCGCCCTTCTGGCCAGGGAAGGCAGGGCAGACGCGTGCCGGCCTTGCTGTGTGCTTCCTCTCTCGGAGCAGGTGGCTCAGCGGGGAGCTGGTTGTTGACAGGGAAGTAATAAAGACCTTGCGAAGGGGCCGTGTTCTAACATCAAGTGTGGGACCAGAAGGCAGATAAGCGCTCTGGCAGGAGGAAGACTCAGAGAAGAACCAAGCTGACCAGCCTGTGGGCAGGGTTCTCAAACATGATTAGAGCAGGCTGAGAGGTTCTGAAGTGGGGAGTTCTGACCAGTACTGGGCCAGCCCCAGAGTCGGAGAGGCGCAGGGAGGAGTCCACGTGCTGGATCACCCGCGGCTTCCCCTGATGAGAGAGGAGTGGACGGGTCGGAAAGGTGGGGGGAAGCGGCACGTAATCATGGAGATACACGAGGAGGGAGCCCGGACCTTTGAGAGCGTGCCAAGAAGGCAAAACCCTGAATAACGTGAGGTTGTCCAAGCTGGTGACGTAATCTGGGACAGTGGGAAACAAACAGAAAACTGTACTGGGAGCAGCAGCTCGAAGAATGAAGGGACGGGGTCCTTGGCACAGCAAGCGGTGGCCGCGGCGAGAGGCAGCAGACCTTCACTCCCCTTTCACCACCTGCTGCTCTTTCCCACTGGGAAGAGCGGTGTTAACACCAGGAAGGGGAGAGACCCTGCTCCGAGGAAGCTCTGGAGGGACTCAGGAAACACCCGCTCCTGTACACAGGCAGAGCACGGGGCAGTGCCGGCCAGGACGGCGGCCGCGCCTGCGGGGGGCTTTCCAGGCTGGAGGGCGTGGGAACAGGCCGCGCGGCAGGCCTGTTGTGCCCTTCACAGCCGTGGGCTGCGTTCGGTGGCCGTGCGTGACCGCACCCTGAGACGGCCGGCCGGTGAGCAGGTTGCCTGGTCGTGAGAGCTGGAGGAGGTGTGTCGGGGGTATTGGTGGATGAACTCGATCTTACACTCTAGCGGAATTCTTAGATGGATTATTGAAAGTTACTCGGCATCTGAGGAGACTGCGTAGGCTTGTGTAAGCCTGGAAGGGCGTCCCCAGAATGGCCAAAGCTGTTTCTTGAGGGCTGTGGTTTGGGGACTTTGATGCCTCTGTGCACTGTGTGACCCCTCCCGTGTCCGTAACGACCTCGGGTCGTGTGCGTTAGAAAGGGACACAGAGCAGCCGGTGCCAGGTGTAGAGGTAAAAGTGTGCCCGCCTCCGTGTAGTCAGTCCAACGAGGGAGCACAGAGTGACGACCGCGCCACACTCACCTCGCTTCCACCCTGGTGTCGCAGAGAAACGGGGTGGAGGGGGTGGTGTCCTTGTGGGACGAGTTTCTCCAAACGTCCCCGAGACCGAACAGAGAGACGGACAGCGGGACAGCGGGAGGGTCACAGAACCGAGGTCTCTGTCGGTCCCCTGTGCGTGCGTCATCGGTGGATCAAGGAGTGCCCTGGAGAGAAGTACCTGGAATCCTGGGTGCTGTCCTTGGTTCTGACCCGTGTAGCGTTTGCCCACGAACTTGGGGTGAGACTTCCTGCATTCGCCCATCGTGCAGGCCTGGTGCGGAGCGCCCGCTCCCCGGGGAGGGCAGGATCAGGACTCTGGAGGCTGGCGTGGCGCTGTCGGATACGGCGTTGCAGGGGGCGGGGAGAGTAAGGGGAGCCACAAGCCCCTGCACGAAGTCGACCCCTACCTCTTCAACCAACCACCCAAGGGCTTGGGGGATTGTTTTAACGGATGTTTTGGAGGGGAGACTCTAACTTATGGCATCTTAGGGGTCTGCCGTGATAGGGACGCCAGGTGAAGGGGTGCAGTCTCGGGCTGCGTCAACTGCGGTGTAATTAACGAGGTGTTCGAGTCCTCACTGCCGGGGCAGAACCCGCGTGTTAGAGCGAGTCCAGAGAGGAGCACGGTGTGCGAAGAAGGCTGTGCGCCGCGGTCAGCAGTGCTCGCAGTCACGGTAGAGCCGAGGGAGACCTTGGTTTGAAGGCCTCTTTAGATACCATCTCGTTCTGAAGTTTTACGTAGGGCAGAGTCCTGTCCGCACTTCATGCGGATGCAGAGAGCCAGGCTCTGAACGGTCCGTGCCGCACCGGTGCACCCTGCCACGTCAGAGCTGCTGTGCTGCGGCTGCTCCTCTTGAAAAAGCGAACAGAGATGAAGCTTGTACGGTGCTGTGTCGTCTTTAAAATCTTTTCATAAGCTCGTTTGATTTTTCAGACAGAGAAGGGAAGGACGGTTGTTACTGGTGAGTTACCCTGCCACACGGTGACAGGAACAAGGGGCAGGATGTTTCTGTTTGTTTCAGGTCACGGAACTTCCGTGTGTGGAGCCTAGACTTGAAATCGGACCTTTCTGCCTGCAGGCCCGGTGTCCCCACCACCACACGGCGCAGACCCGGGGACGAGCCCGGGGTTGGCCGCAGCGAGCTGATGCTGCGGATAGCAGGCAGAGGCTGGCTCCTGGCTGCTTTTGAGGGGACCCTGGCTTCATATGGGATAAACCTCTTACGGTTCTTGAATTTGTAGACCCATGGCTCTTGCTTTTGAGAACTTTACTTCCACAAGAAGGAGATGGAGAAATTAGTGACAAAAATACGTGTTAGTGCACCCGACTTTGAGCTTTAAAGATGTCAGTGTTTTACGTTTTTGTCTCCGTGGCCCCAAGGATTCACCCAGATCGGGGGGGGGGGCAGGTTGTTACCAGCAACAGCCGATCAGAGAGGACAGAACGCAGACGTGGGAGGAGGAGGCCGGCGTCCGGGTCTGGGCCCTGCTGCTTCAGCGTGTCACCGTCTTCTCTGTGCCCCATCTGTAACGTTTGGGAAGTCGGTACCCCATAGTGGCTTAAAAACTTGAGTTATGTAAAATTACTTTACTATAATAGCTGACAAAGACAGAATTGTCCGGGATCAGCTTTTACACCCAGTAACTGTTGCCGTGAGTTGCTTTATCTTAAAACAATCAGAACCAAAAAGAAGTGGGTGTGTCAATGGGCACAGGTGTATCTGCAGAACGACTGATGTCACTCCGGTGTGTGGCCTGGTTCAGGACTCCTGATTCCTCTTGTCTCAGGACCGGTGACTGTCACAGGTCGTGTCCCTTCCCATCCCGTCACTGCCTCTTCTGTTTTGCAGAGCAAGGCCTAGATCACATAGCAGAGAACATTCTTTCCTACCTGGACGCCAGGTCTCTGTGTGCGGCGGAGCTGGTGTGCAAAGAATGGCAGCGAGTGATCTCCGAAGGGATGCTGTGGAAGAAGCTGATCGAGCGGATGGTGCGCACGGACCCCCTGTGGAAGGGGCTTTCGGAAAGAAGAGGGTGGTGAGTACCGGGCCCGCGGGTTCCCTAGGTCACGGAGTGTCTTTGACCTAGGGTCGCTTTGACGACCGAAGGAGGCTGCTGTACTTGCGAAATGCGTTGGCCTATTTCGAATGAGCAGAAAAGGGGTTGGGGGAGGGTGGAGTTAAAGCTGGAAGAACGTTTCCTTCTGAAGTGTGCATTTTCTTTATATGTATTAAATGCTAGGAAGTATTGGATTATTTGAGTGGTTTGGCTTCTCAAAGCTGTGTGTTCATGCTTTTTCTTGCACATTCTCCTTAAGTGATAATAGCATTGCCAAGGGATAGATGAGGAGAAAGAGACCGGGAAAAGCAGACAGTGCCCTTTCACTGTCTCTGGTTGTTCTGGTTGTTGCTGGTTGAAGGCAGTGGGTAGCACAGCAGGCAGCTTGCTCGGGTTTTTTTAGAGAAAACCCACGAACTTAAACGTGGTTCTGTGGCTCTGGACTCGTCAGCAGCCCTGCCCAGACAGAGGCCAGAGACCGGTGGCAGCGGTGTGAGCCAGGGCGGCTGTGTTTTCTTCCCGGGGGACTTGGGTGGCACCAGGGTCGGTTTCCCCAGAGCCACAGTAGCACTTCCCAGTCAAACCGGAGAAGGAAAGAAAGGCTGGGTTATTGTGCGCTCAGTATCCCGAAGGTGAGAGGGCAGGACTGCGTCGGGCTGGGCACCGGTGCAGACGCCTCTGACATGTTCAGACCCAGCCGGCCTGCCTCTCACCTGCTCCGAGTTACAGCTCAGTGCACGTCGGGAGACTTAAATGACACAAGGTCTTCGAGAGCGCCCCGTTCAAATGGAACTCACCCCTTTCTGTGCAAAAACCTAATGTGTGTGTGTTTTTATTTGCCAGGGACCAGTACCTGTTTAAGAACAGACCTACAGACGGCCCTCCCAATTCGTTTTATAGGTCGTTATACCCAAAGATCATCCAGGATATAGAGGTAACTTTATGATTTATCTTTTTTATGAGCCCTTCGTCTCCCATTCTCACCTCCTTAGGTTGCCTTGGTGTTCTGTTGATTGGAAATCATGGAACAAATCATTTTTCTTTCCAAGTTGAACTCTTGGAGTGAACGTGTCCTCATCGGTGAATAACCGGAAGCTCTTCAGGACACGTCACGTCTGTTTGTAAAAAGTGACCTAACGTTCCTCAGTCACGAAGTGCTTCTGCAGGGCTGCCATAATGAAAACCTTCATCCAAAACCAACGCTCCCTCCTAATTTGATAAAATTGCCAAAGTCCAAGGCCCAGCGTGTTAGGCAGACAGTTTTATGTTTTTGAGCCGAGTCTAACGACTGAAGAAGGCACGGTCTCAGCTTCCTCTGTAAATTTCCCATATTTTTTCATAAAAATGACTCAACTGTGATTGTAGGCAATAATTAAGTGGGTTTTACAGAGCAAATTACGCTTCTGGACCACTTTGGGTGTGAGTGTAACTGCACCGGACCAGCAAAACTCTGTAAACCTGGCGAGGACTGTCGGAGGTGTTTGATGCCACGCGTGGTTCTAATTGGTGCCGTTTTACGGTTTAGCCCTTTGCCTTGAACCGGGAAAGACACGCACAGGCAGTTCTCATTAACTCTTTCACATGTGTTCTTGGCAGGTCCCGGTTGCTTCACTGTTTCCTCCTTGGCAGAAAAATGCAGGCTTCTCTGGGCAGTGCGGTATCACCCGTAAAGTTATACTCGGTTCCCACACGTGAAGTAATCCTCTCCCCCAGGTGATAGACATAAAAGTTACTGTGCCAGAATTCATTAACGGAGAAACGTGCACTTTGGGGAGAGTACCCCCCTCCCTCTCAGAGGCAGATGTGAACTAATGGAGTCACTTGGTCACCAGTAAATCTGAGTGGGACTGGAATATCATTATGTGAAGCACAAACCCTTGTCTTCAGTGTCCAGCCCCCCAAAATGCACTGTTAAAGTCACCTGTTAGAGAGGCTTAAATAATTTCGAACTGCCGCCGGACGAGGCGTAAAGCGTGGGAATTAATTGATCCATTGGCGATGCTTAGAACAAACGGCTCCTGCAGCGTTAGTGGCTGGGGCAGAGTGTTAATGCGAATCTTAGGTCGGTGTGTGTTCCAGGGAGAGGGGCTCGTAACCCTAGACAGTTAGTTACACTCAGACGCCGCTTCTCCATTCCTCTTAGCGACTTTCTGCTACTTCGTTCTTTACGAAGTAGCTCCAAGTTTCCTTGAATAACATAGTAAATCCTTTATCATGAGAGGGATGTTTAAAACCAATCGCTGATAAACAGGAGTTTGTGCAGGACTTTGGTCGGGTTGACAGTTGGGTGACGTGGAGAGTACTGATCTAATTGACAGTGTGAACTTCATAGTCTGTGGTGTGGCGTCATGTGACACCAGCTACCATACCTATTTCCTTGGGCCGGAAGAGTGTTTTTAAGTCAGCAGTGGAGGCAGATGTGAGGGAAACAGGGCGGGGGGGGGGGGGACCCTGTTTGACACGAAACCTCTGCACCCTGGTGGTCTGCCCAGTGGTCCTTAAGGTGCAGTTTGGAAACCCGCCAGTCGGCCACAAGGGTCCCCTCCGGGTTTTTGTGGGCTGGACCTCTTAGGGCAAGCGGTACTGTTTTATGCTTGGGTCTGTTCACTAGTCGTAATACTAACAAAAGTAATGGACCGTGTACAGAGCATTGACTTGTGCTAGATACTTTGTTAAGCACTTATGATCCGTTTTCTTGCTTAACACTCCTGAAAGGAGGGTCATGTTCTTACTGAAACTGAGGAAGCTGGGAGTCCACAAGGTTCGGGAGCTCCCCCAAGATCCAGCGGCTAGTAAGTAGCAGAGTCTGCGATCCACCTTACATTCTTCTGCACTTCGTACCTCTGTTCTTTACCTCTGTTTTGGGAGGATGTTTAATTCTGTTTAGGGTGGACACACAGGTAGAGACTTTCGTCTGTGATCCTGGCTTGAACCAGTGAGAGGCTCAGGGGCTTGGCTCTTGTCCATGTGGCAGATGGGAAACCCCCATAAGCAGAATATAATGGTTACAAGTACCTTCAACGCAAGGTATTTGTAACTGTTTTACTTGTAACAGGATGATTGCATTTAATTCCTACAAGGTACAGATCCCCTTCTGTAATAAAACGAAACCGAGACTAAGAGAGTTTTAGAACTTGCTATATAGTTTTGTAGGAGAGATGGGATTTTAACTGAGGTCTGGCGAGCTGTGGGCTCAGTATTGTCATTTTCAAACTGGAAAACTCAAGAAGTGAAGGAGAAAGGTGCGTGTTGTTGTACTCCTACAGCTTCAAGATGAAGCCCTCTTTCTCTGGGCGTGAGAGTGCTCAGTGCCCTTGACTGTCCGCTGTAAAAAGGCTGTGAGTTAAGATAGGGCTGGTTGGTCTTGGCTTTCGTCCAGTTACGGGACGGGGGGTGCTCTGAGGACTTTAGTGGAGCACATTGCCGACAGATGCGTTGTACCCTGAATGTCACATGAAGTTGGGGCCCCTCCCGCGTGTCCCCCCACAGCTGCAGTGTCCCTTTTCCCCGTGTACTTTGCAGGGCTGCCAGTTTGTGACGCCTGTTTTCCTTTTCTCCTGCTCTTCCCTGACAGCTCTGGTTTCCGTGCTGGCTTCTGTTCTCCAGCCATTCCCAGGTTTGATGTTCTGAGGAGATGACCTTGCCCTTGTCCTTCCATGTTGACCCACCAGAAGTTAGCTGATTTTTAAGGAGAAACTTGAGAACCTGGCTTGGTGGGCCAGCCCGTATGATTCAGGAAAGAAGGATGTGAGAAGTGAAGCCTGGGGAGAATAGATAAGAATTCTTAGCTTTCTGAGAGCAAAGGTTTCGCTCTCAGGGGTGTTCTGGCCACAGAGGGTCAGGGGGGCAGGAGGGGTGCCTCTGAATGGAGAGGGTGTTCCTGGGGAGCCTGGGGCCCGTTCCTAAAGAAGCAGCTCTGTTTCCTTCACCAGCCAGAGTCGTAATTATTGGTGCTCATCATCAGCAGGGTTATTATTAATGGTGAGCTTACTAATAGATACTTTGCTCCGGAAATTTAACTTAATCCTCAAATTGTCAAAGCTGAGATGGTCGGTCGAAGGCCCCTGCTCTTTCCACTCCGCCAGGCCTGTCCGAGTCCCGGTGTCCTGCGTGGGGACGTGTCCCTGTCGCTGTCTCAGTGGTGGCAGCCCTGTGCACCAGGCCTCTCCCTCCTCTTCCTCATGGAGCGAAGCCCGTGAAGCGCTGTCCTTGGAATGGACTGCTGGCGAAGTCGTGGTGTGTCGCGTCGCACCTTTCAACAAACCGCATTTTGTTTGGGGAGAGAGGGGAGCTTTTTTGTGGTCTGCAGACTTGATATTAACGTCGTCCCGACCAGAGATGGGGAAACTTGCCCACCCACCCAGTTGTGTTTAGCTTCTAAAAACAATGTTATCCCTGCTCACTCAGACATCTGTTTTCACTCTGTCGCCAATTTAAATGCCGCTGTGTACTGTGTATCGTGGCCTCTTTCCCAGTATTTTGAAAATTTGCACAGGGTAAGGGGATTTTACAAGTTTCAAAAACACGAGTACTCCCTACAGTAGCCACTCGCCGTGATGTCCAGGTGAAAGGGCAGGTGCCTGCATCGCTGCCCAGGTGCACCCATGGGTCCCCTGTCTGCCCGCTGCTGAAGACGGGAGTTGGATCGCCTTAGAGGGCTGCTCCCCTTCCTGGGTGGGGCTGGCGTGGGGCTTCCAGCATTAAATGTCAGCCTGGACCCAGACAGCCACTCCTGGCGGTTTGGTGGGGGGTGGGGTTGGAGCAGACTCCTTTTAGCCCGTGTTCTGCACGGACACCGACCGTGGAGGAGAGTCACCGCTGCCGTTCACACTGTGACGGAGCTTCCCTGCCGCCCCCTGCGTCACTGTGTGGTCCTCACCGCCGCTTTGAGGAGGCAGGAGGGGTTCCTTCCCCCGTTTTCACAGAGGGGCCAACGGCAGCTCCAGCGGCCAGGCCATTTTCCGGAGCTGCTGATTGACCTGGGCGTTTTCTGCCACAGCGGGCCGCCCTCTGTCTCTGAGGGTCTCGTTTTTCTAAAAAAGGCCTGGCCCACCAGCATCCTAGTAGGCACTGAGGGCGCCCGGTAAGGTGGTGCGGAGCACTTAGGGCAGATGGCAGGAAGTGCCACTCTGTCCTGTGGGTGGCCTTGTGCATGGGGGGCGGTAGGAAGTAGTCAGGGGCGGTGTGCCGCAAAGTCGTCCACTCCCTGGTCCGGGTTACTGTCGTTTTCCTGGCGCTTTGAAGCAGACTAGCCTTGTTTGGGGATTAGGGAACCTAATAATTTCTGAAACAGCCCTAAGTGGGACTTCCTATAATGATCCATCAAGGATTATTTGGCAAACTTCTTTTAAAATTTAGATGCATGTATTGGAAAATTAGGTCCGTTCTAAGTGCCAAGAAGCTAAGCCGTTCCGCAGCTCCCATTCGACTTGGAAGGAGAGGCCGTTGCCTGCGGAGCTTTTGACAGACTGCGGGCTGCGTCGGGCTCTGGGGTGCAGGCGGTGCGCGCTGCAGGCGGAGAGCAGCAGGGCTCCGCCGTGCGCGCCGGGCAGTGCTGCCTGCCCGGATGTGGGCCGGCCATGCGGCCTCACCCAGGCGCCGCAGCTGCGTGGCCTTGGGTGCACTAAAGGACAGCCAGGTCACCCAGGCTTAGAGAACATGATACACGGGGCAGGGGAGCGTAACACTTGGGTGTTCTTGGTACGAGGAGCCTTCTACTCCCTCTTAAAAAAATTGTTTTAAACTCCCATGGGATGGTAAATGTGCCTTTTCTGTTCATTGACATATAGATTAACAGCAACTTACCAATTCAGTAATATTGTAAAAATAATTGTGTATGTGTTAAAACTAAGAATGGCTATATGAATTTTAAAAATAACACCTGGTATGTGTTTTTCTGTGTGTGTGAGAGAGACAGACAGATGGACATGTTACGTGTGCCCCTTTGGAATGTTTGGGGTTTCTGTGGAGACCTGCATCCCGCAGCAGCTCTGAGCCCCAGGAGGTGCAGCCCGGCCCTGGTGGCCATTGCTAAGAGTCGTTGGCCACAAGTAAGACCTGTTACCAACGCGCCTGCCTCCTGAGTCAGCATCTTCCGGTGTGCTTCAGCACGCCGAGTCTCATTCACACCTGAAAATGCAGTTTCTTTGACTCCAGGCGCTGAGTTCAGTTTAACAAGCGAACCAGCCTGCCCTGAGAGCATTGGCAGAGGTCAGGTGGAATGACGTGCTTTGGGCATGTGCTCTTAGGTTTGACATTCGACAAACTCACCCGCAGAGACGCTGCTGGCTCTGAGGCTGACCTGGTAGCAGGTGGGCAGGCGAGTGTTTCCTTGCACCCGCTGAGCCCAGGGAACGGGTGATCTGCACTCTGCCGAGGCTGCCTGTGCTAAGGACTGAGGCCGCAAGTGGTCAGGCATCTTCCTTTTTAGGTGTATGTGTATCGGTCTGTCCAATCTTCCATTTCCTTTTCTGTAAAATGAGGACAGTAAATTGGCTTCAAGAGTTGTGATGCTTAAATTAGCTGTAAAATACATGGAATGTGTAGTGTGGTGTTACGGGAACATAGTAGTACCCAGCACGTGATGCTCAGTGCGCTTTAGCAATCGGGAGCGCACGGAAGCCTGCTGCCTTCACAAGAAGAGGAAATGCAGTCTGTTAGATGTGAGCAGAGCCAGTATTTTAGTGCTTATCATGAATGAAAGTGAGATTTATCTCCTTTCTCCGGCAAAGCAACTAATTACACTTTTAGCTGCTCAGAGCTTCTGAGAGCTAATCTTTTAAACTATATCCCGAAGTCAGGTGTAGCCAGTTATTCTGGTCCCCGATCCTCAAGGATCAGGACTTTGCACTGTAGTTGCTCTTAGTAGAAACTTTGTGGTCTTTTGATCCTGAAAATCCCCTCTACCCACTACCAAAGGTTAGGGCTTCCAGCGCCCTGGGTGTGGCCCACTTCTGCTCTCGTGCCCCTCTGCCCTGCATCTCCCCGAGGCCGGCAGCACTGATGACTTTGTAATCACTCATTTGGCACTTACATTGTATCTGCCATTGTTGCTGGGCTTCTCAGGTTCCGTGTTCGCTGTCTCAACAGCTAAGACTATACTTCTTTATAGACGCTGCATAGCTCAGTGGGAAAAGCATGGACTCAGAGTCAGGAAGAGCTGGGTGTGACTTCCAGCTCATCCAAGTACTGGTTTTGTGGGCTCAGGCAAATGAAACTCCTTCCTTGTTTGAAAAAGGGAAGTAATAAGAATTTCCTCCCAAGGTCATTTAACCAAATAAACGTGTCTGGAGCATGTCTAGTCCCAGACACCGCGGCTGGATAGTGGAGCAGTGCCCCTGCAAGCAACATGTGTCCGGTCGCTCGTCCCGTGCCCGGGGCCCGGCCCGGCTGGGAGCTGGGAGGCGCTAGCGTGTCGGCAGGTGTTGCGTGAGTGACACAAGAATGAGAACCCAGGGCGGAAGGGCAGCGTTCTTACTCCAGAGGACCTCTGGTCTGGTGGAAGGGCAAGAACAGAATACGTGTGTGTGCTGTAGAGCTCGGCCTGTGGTAATTGTTCAGTATCATTTCTCAGTGATCAAGACAATACTTTGGATGGGTACACAGATTCTCGGTATAGGCTTAATTTTGTTAGGAGGGGGTCTTCCGCCAAATGTTTTCATTGGCATTAGAGAGTGACCCAGTGAGGTACTATTTATTTGTATGTTTTTGGATGCAAATGGCATTCTTGAAACAAACGGAGTTCTGTCAAGGCCATTTTTCCTCAAACCCAACCCACACTCATTGGAAATCCTGTGCGGGTTGCCAGAAGGGCAGGGAGTGTTCGAGGAAAAACACTGGTGGGCGAATGCGTTCCTCGGAAAGAGCGTGGTTCCCACCCACGGACCGTTGCGTGAACCGAGTCGGGGCATCAGGGCCCTGCCGTTTCTGGAAGCAGCGCCAGAGTCTGAAGGTTGGTTCCCAGAAACTCACTCGCTGCCTCCTTCCTCCCCAGACCATAGAATCTAACTGGCGGTGCGGGCGGCACAACTTGCAGCGGATCCAGTGCCGCTCGGAGAACAGCAAAGGCGTCTACTGTCTGCAGTACGACGACGAGAAGATCATCAGCGGGCTGCGGGACAACTCCATCAAGGTGAGCGGCCCGTGCACGGGTCAGACGCCGGCTCGGTCTGCCGGTCCCTCCCGAGGGGTCAGCGCTCCGCGTGGCTCTGAGGAGCGGGAGGCGGAGCGGCTTCCTTCCCTGACACCAGGCCCCTGGCGGGTCTCACTTCCTACCCTTCTCTGAGCGCCTTGGCGTTTACACTCTGTATTCAGGGCGCGCAGGAAAAATGTTTCCGTGGGCTCTTGGTTACTTCGTTTGCTGGTGAAAGCGTTGCTAATTTGCCTGTAAATCAAAGTCATTACCTTTTAGGGCTCCTGAGAAAGGCTCCGATGCCAACGGGCAAGAGTGCTAGAGCAATTCAGATTGCTTTTCAGTAGTCGATCAACTAGATTATTTCTGTGCTTAATGCTTGGCAGCTGATCTGACAGATACTGTTTTACATCGTTTATAACTTATTTGCTCATTTAAGAAAACATTGTAGGGTGGTTTTTTTTTATTATAATTTACATATGGGAAAATTTCCTTATTTTGGTGAGAAGCTCGCTTGAGTTTTGACAAGCACAAAAAACCATGTAAGTGTAACAGTACTCAGGGCACAGAAGAGTGTGGTAGTCCCCCGAAGTCCCCTCACCCAGCGCCTTTGTGTCCCATTCTTCCTGCTCTTTTGCCTGGGCCCTCGCCACCCCTGAGCTTTGTCCCTGTGATTTTGCCGTTTTGAAAATACCCGGTAAGTGGACTCCCGCGGTATGGAACCTTTTGAGTCTGGTTTCTCATACGTTAGTACGTTTGCATTTCATCTGTGTTGCTGCGTTTACAAATAGTCAGTTCTTTTTACTGCTGGGTAACGGTTCATTTTATGGGTGTGCTCATCCACTTAACTGCTGAAGGACATTTGTGTTCCTTGTTTTTCACAGTTATGAGTAAAGTCACTATGAACATGTGTGCACGTTTCTGTGAGGGCGTAAGTTTTTGGTTCATCTGAGTAGAAACCTAGGATAAGGTTACAGACCTGTGGGGTAAGCGTACATCCGAACTTGCCAAGAAACTGCTGTTCTGCAGAGCGGCAGCACCGTTGCTCCCCCCCTGCAATGCGTGCAGGCCCTTTGTTCTGCCTCCTTGTCCGGCCGTGGTGTTCTCAGTGTCTTTGTATCAGCAGTTCTGATAGGTACGGAGACACGCCTCATTGTATTTCCCCAACGGCCGACGATAATGTGTGTCTTTTACTTATTGGCGCCTATTTACCATCAGCATAGTCATCGGTAAAGTTTCTATTCAAATGTTTTATCTATTTTTTGAATGGGATTTTCAGTTTCATATTGAGTTTTGAGAGTTCTTTATATATTCTGCACGCAAGTCCTTTGTTTAATGTGTTTTGCAAATGTTGTCTTCTCATCAGGGACTTGTCTTTTCATTTTCTTAATAGTAGACTTTAATTTTGGTGAAATCAAATCTCAATTTTTAAAAAATAAATCATGTTCTTCATGTTATAGCTAAGACTTTTGCTGAGCTTTTTAAATCTGTAAATTTATGTCTTTCAGTCACCAAACTTCAGACGTTTCTGGTGCTTACTTTTTCAAGCAGTTTTTCTTCACCAGTAGCTTCTGTTTCTTTGCTGAGAATGTCTCTTCATTCCCATCTGGCATGTTTGTCTGCACTTCCTGGGGAGGATTTGCAGAAACTGCTCTGAAGCCTTGACCTTGACAACGCCGGGGTCACCTCTGGCTTGTTATGTGTTATCGAGTCTCTTCTCCTGAGAATTGGCCTCCGTGTTCAGGAGGGTTGGATTGTACCTTGGGCATTATGAGTGTCACGTGGTGGAGATGAAGGACCTGTTATAACTTCCTAGAGAAGTTGTGTGGGTGTGGTTTGAAGCAGGCCATTAATCTACTTGTGTTCAGAACACAAGTTCTGTTGGGACTTCGGCAGAGGGAGCTGGGGAGGGGTTCTGACCTTTTCCCTGCTTTTCAGAGCCTTTGCCTTCTACTCTGGGTCTGTCTGGAGCTTGCAGGCCTCAGAACCGGGTCCGAGGCTTCAGCAGCAACTTCAAAGTCGGTTCACTGTGTATAGCCTCTGCCACACCGGCTCAGTGTGCCTGGGTGTGCGCAGTTCACATCCAGTGCTTGCGGGCATTCACACAGAATAACGGGATTCTTTCTGTCCAGATCTTTTCTCTTGGGTTTTCCTTAAGTCTCTCCTGCCCTTGGGAGTCCTTTTTTCCCTTTTCTTCCAGCCAGAAAAAATGGGGTTTCTCTTAGAACCTCGTCACCTGTGCCGCTGCTCTGCGGTGGCGCATCTGCATGGCTGGAACCTGTCCTGGGGTCACAGCCAGGCCAGAAGGGGGGTGGTGTGGGGTCCTCCCATGTTCTCTGGCCCCCAGGGACCCCTTTCCCCAGCCTTCTGTCCCGGAAGATTAGTTTCTCTCGGGATTTCAATAGCCGCTGGCTCCCTGTGCAGCGCCCCTGCCCAGACCCAGCTTTGGGCCGAAGCCGCCACAGAAAGAAATGCAGAAACAAGCAGACAGAATGGCGGACTCGCCCCACGCGGCTCACTTTTCAAGCTTTCGCTCCTCACCGCGGTCCACTCACTCCCTTCCTCCTGCCCCTCCCCTCGTCCTCAGCCTGTTGCTCTTGTATTTTTTCTCAAGTTTTTAGTTATAATCAACTGAGAAGATAGTTTGTAGTAGGCTTTGTCCATCTTGGCCCTGTTCTCTATATTGTTTTAATTTGGGTGAGTTAAAGGGTATTTTTGTTTGTTTTTCATATATATATATATATATACACACACATACACACATACATTAAATACATGAAAAGCGGAATTATAGTAAATCAGACAGCTTACGGCAAAAAGCACTCTGAATGAAAGCATATGAAGGAAGTGTTTCTCTTGTTTTCTGTGTTTGGCGGTGGATGTGAATCTAGCAAATGTTCATTTGAAGGGTAATTCCCTTCAAAGAAGTTCAGAAAACACTGCTATCTCCTTAGAAACTCACAGGGTGCAGGAGGAAGAGGCTCTGAGAAGGCCTGTGTCGGAGAGGCCTGTGTCTCCTGGCTTCCGAAACTGCTACGGAACTCTTACGTCTGTGTCCCAGTTGCCGATTACCCTGCCACGTGGCCACAGGTCTGCCCTGGAAAGGTTACCATTTAGTGTTGGCAGTTCTCCTTTAAGAACTAGATGGGAATGGCTCATGAGGACCTCGTGGGAGTGTAGGCTGGCCATGGGCTTGCATCTCATTTACACTGGATGTGTTTCTAAAGAATTCTGTTTGCAGGGGCGCACCCATGTTTAAATTCAGCTCACGCTAGATTTGTGAGACAGAGAACAGCAGAGAGAGGCGTCAGCCAGATCTCTAGATCCAGCCGTCATTCTGGTGGTCGGAAACCTTTCTGCTTTATTCTGCACTAGGCCTTGATCACTAGTCAGTTCTTCAAAGTCACGGTGGGTCCAAAGTTAAAAGCAAGCCTTGCTGTGTCGTTGAAAGTCACGTGAACGCCTGTAGCACTTCGCCGCGCCATGGCCGTTCGCAGCAAGCCTTAGGGACGCTGCAAATTGTGGTGTTATTTTGTAAGGAAAGAAACAGGCCCACGGAATACTTTTTTAATTGTCCAAAAGAAGTGAGAAAAAGAGCATTCAGGGTACAAAATCAGCTCTTACTAACTTTTTATTAGCTTTTAGTATATTTGTTTTTTTTAAACTTACATAGTGGTTCTGTCATTACAGACAAATTTTATTATGATTTTTTAAAAAGATTTTTAAAAATTTATTTTTAGAGAGCGGGAGAAAGAGAGAAACACAGTGTGTGGTTGCCTCTCGTGTGCCCCCTACTGGGGGCCTGGCCCGCAACCCAGGCATGTGTCCTGCCTGGGAATCGAATCGGCAGCCCTTTGGTTCACAGCCCGGTGCTCAGTCCACACCAGCCAGGGCTATAGTGATTTTTTAGAAACACAACTCTAATAAAGTATTTTCTCATTAAAAACCTCATAGTTTATATTGAAATTTTTCCTGAAAATTTTGAATATTTTTGTAAACATAAGAGGTTAAGGGGTACACATTTTTTAAAGGCTCTTTTTTTTTTTTAAGATTTTATTTATTTATCTTTAGAGGGGAAGGGAAGGAGAGAGGGAGAGAAACATCAATGTATGGTTGCCTTTCGTGCATCCCCTGCTGAGAAGTGGCCTGCAGGGAACCGGCCTGCAACCCCGGCATGTGCCCTGACTGGGAATCGAACCGCGATTGTCTGGTTCGCAGGCCCGCGCTCAATCCACTGAGCTACACCAGCCAGGGCTAAAGGCTCTTAATAGATACAGTCATGTTGTTTTCCAGAGGGTGCACCAACTCTTCACAGAGTTTATTTTTAAATGCCCCTTACAAGGCCGTTAAGTACGAGTCCAGTAAACTGAAGAGTGCATCTGTTCTGGAAGTCATTCCCGTTCCCTCTGCCCTCCTGTCCTTCTCCACCTGTTTGGCGTTTAACTCTCTTAATACCGTGACAGGTTGGTTTTCTCTTACGACGCAGAAAACGGGGCCGAGCCAGACCATTGATCAGCACATGACGTGCTGACTTGTGTTCGTGGTTTGTCTTGTCTCAACAGATTTGGGACAAAAGCAGCTTGGAGTGTTTGAAAGTGTTAACAGGGCACACCGGCTCTGTCCTCTGTCTCCAGTATGACGAGCGTGTCATTGTGACTGGCTCTTCAGACTCCACAGTGAGGTGAGTGATCTGGCTTCGGGGGTCTGAACTTGGCCCCCCACGAGGAGGTGACATTCACACCACCTTCTCCGAGGGTGGTTTTGTGCGCTGCAGTTCAGAACCACTTCGGGTGTAGGCACATCTGAGCCAAGTGGGTGGGAAAGCTCCCCTCCGTTCAGCGGGACCTGCTCCTGTGGCCGGCCGTACAGTGTAGCGATGGCAACGTGCCCACCTCCAAAGGCGCAGGCCTGGTGGAGGCTGGCCTCCTCCCGCTCCAGAGCAGGGAGGCAGAGGCGGGTGTTCCACAGCGAGGCGTGTGGGCAGTCACCCGAACACGCTGAAGAGTCAGGAGCAGTGTGTGGGGAGCCCTTGGAGGCGCTGAGTGCTGGGGGTTCTGCAGACTGTCATCAGATTGGATTCTCACATCAATCAGCCTTGCCAAGTGGGTAGATGGTGTCTCCCTTGTTACAGGTGTATAAGGAAGCCAGGACCAGAAAGCTTAAGTAATTTGCTCAAATTGTTAGGTTTGAACTCTGAGTTCATATCAGTCAAGACTATCTTCATGTTACGTAGCCTTTCCAGTCACGGAGACACTAGTTTTCAGACGCCACCCCTGGGACAGAGTGGTGACATGGGGAATGGCCCCGTTCCCTAGCAGAAGGGAAGCGGGGCCTGCTGGGGCCACGCCCACACCCCCAGGATGAGGACACAGGCCCCCCACCACCACAGCTGGCTCTGGTTTGGGCATGGGGAGGAGCGCGTCAGGGCCAGGCGTCGTGCGGTGGTGCCTCAGCTGGACTGCTGGGGGCGTAGGGAGAGCATGGCGTCCGGAGGGGAAGGGGTGGGTTCACAGGCACCCCTGGGGGACAGAGGGGTCGCCAGCCTGCCCAGTGTCCTCTCCCTGGCCCAGCACTTCCCAGCCCCTCCTTCTGCCCAGATCACGTCTCAGCCTGAGGAGCTGTGTCTGTCCTCCTCTCTGTCACCTTGGTGATGCTCTAGGTCACCTTGTTTTCGGAGGGGACTGGGGTTGCAGGGAAGCTGTGACACGGAGGACTGTCTCTAAGCACCCCGTGGTGCGTGGGTGAGCTGGTTGGGAGACACTGGCTTCGTCACAACACAGTTGGGCGAAGAGGTGGGTGTGGGAAATAACGAGACGTCGTGGCCTAGTGGTTCATGGATTCAGGGGCCTGTCCCAGGTGAAAAGGGACCGTAAGCTCGGGACTGTCATCAGTTCTCCAGCCGCCAAGCCGCCTGTCCCCCATTGTCTCACACTCACTGCAAAGCCCGCTCACTCACAGAATCTTTTTTTTTTTTGCCAATAACATAAGCCTGCAAACATAGTCCATGGACACCTGGCTATTAAATGAACCCGAACCTGAACCAAACTTGGCCTTCTTTTTTGAAGCATTTCTCAGCAAATAGAGCAATTGCTCCTTTAAACTTGTACTTAGATGTCAGGCCCCAGTCGCCAGATGCAAGTCCAGTCCGCACCTCCCCAGCCTACTCCGAACGGGTCCAGCCCCGGCTGGGGTGGGCTGAGCACCGGCCTGCGAACCAAGAGGTCGCCAGTTGGGGGCGTGCGAGAGGCAGGCGATGGATGTATCTCGCACACATGGATATTTCTCTCCCTTTCTCCTTCCCTTCCCCCTCTCTAATAATAAAGAAATAAAAATCTTATTTAAAAAAAGAGAGAAAGAAAGGGCCCAGAAAAGACGGGCACCGCGGTCTTTCCCGGCCGTCTGGTGACTCGGCGTCGTGCTCTCTGCTCCCTAGAGTCTGGGATGTGAACACGGGCGAGGTCCTGAACACGCTGATCCACCACAACGAGGCCGTCCTGCACCTGCGCTTCAGCAACGGCCTGATGGTGACCTGTTCCAAGGACCGCTCCATTGCCGTGTGGGACATGGCTTCCGCCACCGACATCACTTTGCGGCGCGTCTTGGTCGGCCACCGTGCTGCTGTCAACGTGGTAGACTTTGATGACAAGTACATCGTGTCTGCCTCTGGTGACAGGACCATCAAGGTGAGTGTGTCTGCTTCCTCCTGTCCCTTTAGAAGGGAGAGAAAACTCGAGTGGCTTCTGCCAACCCGGCACTTCTCCATTCGCGCTTAGGAGCCCTTGACAACATGCCGCTTCACGTGCTTCTGGAGTTACGGGCACGGGAGAAGGAAAGGGCCTTGGGACCGGGATGCAGAGCAGTCAGTCCTCTGTGTCGGGAGGTCACACTGGCAACGACCTCTACAAGGGGAAGAGAACTAAGCTATTGCACGGGTCCCGCGTGCTCGGAGCTTTTCCGATGCCACCTTGCGCCTCCCTCCTGGTGCTCTGTCCAGTAGGTGTTGCCTGCTGTGTACGGGCCTGGCCCAGAGAGTGGAGACCTCACTGGAGACCTCACTGGAGACCTCACAGCCAGCTAGTGGCAGAGCGGAGATTCGATGGTTCACCTTGTTTTGAGAGCCCGTCGTGCCACAGACCCTGGGCTGGGTGCTAGATCTGTGGCACCCAGCAGCCCATCTCCCGTCTCAGAAACTCCGCACGTGGCCGGCCGCAGCCAGGTGGCCTGCAGTGTCTGTAGCTTCCGGTGACCCCCAGGGTGCGGTAAATGCAGTTCTGATTCCAGTGTCCATTCAGTTTGTAGACTTCTGGCTTTCTTAAGTTTTTATAGCAGCTTTATATTTCACGTACCAGTAAGATTCCGCATTTTAAAGCACACAGTTCCCAGTCTCGCGCACCCATAGCCAGCTCCGGCACGGTTTTAGTCCCCCTCCGAAGAGCTGCTTATCCTTCAGTCAGTCCGTTTGCCTCCCTTGTCCCTGGCCGTCCCTGCTCTACGTTTGGTTTGTGGACTTGCTGCTTCTGGGCGTTTCGTATAAATGGAATCAGACAACCTGTTTGCTGTGTTTGCGGTCCTCCCGTGGACACGGCCGCAGGGAGTAGGGCTTCCCTTCCCCTGGTGACCGCGTGCAGTCCAGCGGGCGTGTGCACCGAGTTCTGTTCGCCCCTCACCAGCCACTGGGCCTTCTGTGCGTGCGCCTGTCGTCTTTTACGAATGCCGCTGCCGTAAACGTGGTGTGGGCACATGTTTGGAGTTCTCCTGGACGGCAGCTCTCTGTTTAATCTTTTGCCAAACTGTTTCGCAAAGTGGCTGTGCCAGTTCGTAATCCCACCAGCAATGTATGAATGCTTGGGCTTGGCTCAAAAAACCCTTTTTATGACACACTAGGCGTCGTTCTAGTTGTCACCCCAGACGTCACAGACTGGGTGGCCTGGATGCTGAGCATAATCCACTCACCACTCAGCCACACCAGTTGGTACAAGACCAGCCAGTGCCTGGAAGTCAGGAGGGTCTGGGCCTTAACGAGCTGTGGCGTCCTGTCGGCCTGGAAGGTTTTTCCACATCCTCGTCAACACTTGTTACTGTCTTTTCTATCGCGGCCGTCCTCGCGGGCGTGCCGTGGTGTTTCTGTGATTTTGCTTTTCATCTCCCTGATGACTAATGACGTTGAGCGTCTTTTTATGTGCTTATTGGCCATTTTTATGTGGGAGAGACTCTTAAGTGTTTTGCTCATTTAACGAACTGAATTATTTGTCTTTTTATTGTCTAGTTGCACACATAAAGTTCTTTATGTGTTCTGATTATAGGGTCCTTATCAGATAATTATTTGCAAATGTTTTCTTTCGTCTTGTGGGTTGTAGTTTTATTTTACTTTTTTAAAATGCTCTTACTTTGACGCACAGGACAATTTTAATTTTGATGAAGTCCTTTTGAACAGTTTCTTCCTTCTGCCGATGTGTTGTCACATCTAAGACACCATTGCCCAATCCCATGTCACAGAGATTTACTCCCGTGTTTTCTCCCGAGAGCATCGCGGTTTACGTTCTTGCACCCCAGTCTTTGATCCATTTGGAATCAGACCTGCATGGGTGGTGTGAGGTTCCCGTCACTCCCTGGCCTGTGGATGTCCAGCTGTCCATTCAACTGCAAGTGCAGCTGGTAGTGACTCGGGCCACTTCAGTCGCGTTGTGTCTCCTGATTTGGCTGGTAATTCATTGTGTGTGTGTGACATCTACGTCGTGCGGGTGGTTTCACGAAAGAGCAACTGTTTGTTCCACGTGGACAGTGTCGGGCTCTGTGTCAGCTGGTAGAGCTGCCCAAGACACTTCTGGAGAGAGGCGGGTGTCAAAGGTGACGCTTATGCACGTCGCTCACATTGGGCACGACGTGGCCGCCGGCAAAACACAGGAAGCGTGGCCCAGACTCCTCCCTCTGGGCAGCCGACCGTTCGCACCACCCAGGAGGGGTCCTCTCTGTGACAGGCGCAGGGTCTGGAGCCCCACGGCGCCCGCGGGTTTCATCCCAGCGTGACCGACCGCTCAGCAGCCGAGACCTGTCTGCTGTCCAGTCCGTCCCTCAGCCGCCCACCCATGTCTCATGGTCAAGTATTTTGATCGTCCCTAGAAGCTCTGGTTTTCTTTTTTTTTTTTAAGGTATATTGTGAAAGGACTTCTCTGCGTTCATTCTTTTAAATAATGCTGATTTGGCCCTGGCTCGTGTGGCTCAGTGGATTGAGCACCAGCCTGCAAACCAAGGGTCGAGGTTCGATTCCCAGTCAGGGCACATGCCTGGGTTGTGGGCCAGGTCCCCACCAGGGGGCGCTCGAGAGGCAGCCACACGTTGCTGCTTCTTCCCCTCTCTCTAAAACGACATAAACCCTCAAAGAAAGGAAATAAGAGACACTGCCGGTCTGTTGCAGGTCTGGAGCACGAGCACCTGCGAGTTCGTCCGCACTCTGAACGGGCACAAGCGAGGCATTGCCTGCCTGCAGTACCGGGACCGGCTGGTCGTCAGTGGGTCGTCGGACAACACCATCAGGTGGGTGCAGGCGGGTGCCGCCGGAGCCCGGGGGTCCGTGCCCCTCTCACTGTTAATGCTCGAAAGGCCAGTCTTTGGGGGGCTTCAGATGAGGGAACGAGTCTGTTTGGCTCTGCGTACTGACGTGGGTAGAGTGTGTATTCTCCCAGGAGTCCCCCGGGACACAGCTTCCTTGACCTTGGCACTACCCAGGTTCCCGATACCAGCGCAGCTCGGAACGGAGCGTGGTCCAGCCTGGCTCTGCTGTCCTGTGCCCTGGGCTCCTGCCTCCCGGCCGGGGGGGAGGGGGAGGGGGTGCTGGGGCGGCTGCTTTGTCGGCCTCTCCCGGGACTGGGTTACAGGGTCATCTCCTCCTGTTTGGTCCCTTGTTCTTCCTAACACCCAGTGTCCTTGCTTTCTGATCAAGATAACCAGCCTTAAGCACTTCGTGTCTCATTAGAGCTTGCCTTCAGTATCTGCTTAACTATCCCAAGTCATTGTCACCCTGTCCCAGTATGTGCTGGTAGCTTTTTTAAGTAACCAAACTGCCTAACATTTGGGCAGAAATTAAGATTAGGCTCGAGATTATTTGAGAAAGGGAGGGTGGGGCTCTGACTGCTGTGAGGTTTCTTTTAAGATATAAAAGTTGTCAGTGCTGAAATCTCGGTTCTGTTGTGTCCGTCACGCTGTGCGTTACTTAGTGTTTCCGCAGCACACGGCCCACAGCTCCCTCGCCGGGGTCTCGGGGATGGCACAGAGTGGCAGCGAGGTGCTGTGCAGTCTGCCTGTGCGCTGGGGGCTGCTGGTGGGGAGGCCGAGGGAGTTCGTTACGGCGTTTGTTGCCTTTGTTCTGTGCGTGTTAGATTGCTGCGATTTCTTTTTTGCAGATAATGTAGAAAAATCAATGGTGACAGAAAATGTTTTATTTCCAGAATTGTTACACGAATCCCGTGCAGAGAAAAGGGCTGGGTGTGTGCTCGCATTCTGGGGCTGTGGTCCTACGACCGTGCGTCCAACCAGCCGCACAGCCCGGACGCCCAGTGCGTGTCTGGGAAGGGGTGTCCCCGGGCCTCGTGGACCCAGGGCTAGAAGTGCCCGGGCCGGAAGTCTCTTACTTGTTGACCTTGTTTAATTAGTAATACACGCATGTGATTTTAAAAGTTTCAAAGTATGTAAAATGAAACGTAAGGCTTCCTCCGAGTGAGTGCTTAAAAACACACAAGGCATGAGTGTCCACACAGATGTGTGTGGTGTGGATGGAAGCAAATTCCAGAGCAGTGCAAAGCACGTAAGGACAGGCGTGAGCAACATGGGGCAGTGGGTCCCGTGCGAGTGGCTGTTTCACAGACTGGTTTGCTTTCCAGGCTCTGGGACATTGAATGTGGCGCCTGTTTGAGGGTCCTCGAGGGGCACGAGGAGCTGGTGCGGTGCATCCGCTTTGACAACAAGAGGATCGTCAGTGGGGCCTACGACGGGTGCGTATGTCCCCTCGCAGGTGCCCGGCTGTTGTAGCGCAAGAGGGGCAAGTGCGCAGATGGAGCCACCGTGTGGGGCCGGGTTCCTGTGCTGGGCGGTTTCTGTGGCTGATGGACGGCCGGCTCATGGCACCGCTCAGCCCCGGACCCCACGGCGACATCCTCCATGACCCCGAACGAGAGCTTTTAACTGATGTGAAGGCAGCGTGGCGTGGGTTGTGCGGGAGTTCAGTTATTTGCCTTGAGCCTTAAACCAGGCGTGGGGTCTTCCTTTTTTCCTTCCAGTTCAATGGTAAGTTTCCTTCCCCCTTTTGATGAGTCGAACAACCTCTTTTAAAAGCCTCGAGGCTTCTTAAATGAGCAAATGGCAAGTGTAAAGCCTTCGAGACCTTGTGTGTACTTCACAAGCCGGTTCGTTGGCCTGTCGACACTCCTGTTACTGACTTCGGACGTCTGCCTTGTTGGGAGGGAGGCACCCACAGGTGTTCAGAGGCGGCCCTCGCTTCTGCTAGCAGCACCGCCCCAGCCCCCCGGGGGCGTCTGCCTTAAAGCACTTCCTTACAATTCCAGCACCTCAGAGAATGTGTGGGTCCTTCTATTTCTCAAAATTAATTGGTTGAAAGGACTTGTACGATAAGAACACAGTTCCCCACTCACTTTGACACTGGGTAGTTCAGGTGCTCTCAGCAGTGTTTGAAGTGTTGCCTGGCCCGCTCACCGCGCTCCGTTGTCCTTCCCAGGAAAATTAAGGTTTGGGACCTGCAAGCTGCTCTCGACCCCCGCGCCCCGGCAAGCACGCTGTGTCTGCGCACACTGGTGGTAAGTGGCTGTGGGGCGGGGGCGGGGCTTCCCTGTGCTGGGGTGGCCGCCTGCACACAGACCCGTCCGCGGGGTGTGTCACCGGCAGCCTGTGTCCCCAGAGAAATGCACTGCGGGGTCATTTTGTTCTGCCAGGGTCGGAGTCTCCACATCTCACTGCAGGGGGCTGCTCCCCACGAGTGTTCATACCACTCGGGGTGCGAGGGCTTCCTCGTTCACGGGGGCCACGTCCCCGCAGAGCAGAAAGGGTTTCCTCCCGTGGGTGCGGGGGGTTCCTGATGCGGGTGTCTGGCTGTGCCGCTCTTCTGTGACAGCGCGTGTTGGGCTGTGACCGAGCAGTTCCCCCTCCTGCGGTCTGCGGCCTGTGGATCATCACTTCGACCTGCTGCAGAACTTAGTTTTGAACTGTTAATGTTGCCGAGGAAGCTTCACCAAGCACATCGTTCTTAACAGTCTGCTTGCTTTTGTTGTGCTTTTGAAGAGATAGTTGCTCAAAAATACTGATAGATTTTTCAATAGTTTTACCTTTTATTTCCATATGTTCGCTTCTCACATGCCTAGAACATGCAGAACTACAGTTAGGGCCGTTCTTGTTTTCTTCTCTGTCTTAACGGGCATCGTCATTCCTGGTGTGTCACCGTCGTCCCTTTCGGTGCTGCCTGTTGTCAGAGAAAGTCCCGAAAGTCCTGATCACGTTACTGTCCTGGCTCTGGTTTCGACAGCATTGTGCCAAGGACGGCTATTAAACATCAACATTGTCTGCCTTTCTAAGACCCTTTGTGATACGGTCACAGTTCTTTGTTGTGTTAATGAACCAGGATCGAGGGCACAGGAAAAGGCCTAGCAGGAAAAGCAGCGTGTTTGTTCCCGGGCGGAAGGACAGGGCCCCGTGAGCTCAGGAAACTCGGATTCGGGAAGCCGGGATGCGTCGCAGCTTCCCCACCGGGGCCACGCGCCTGATGGTGGGAGAGGAGGGACTGATTACCCAGGTCTCGGTTCATTCACCCCGCCATTCTACCTCACAGGAACATTCTGGACGTGTGTTCCGGCTACAGTTTGATGAATTTCAGATCATCAGCAGCTCTCACGATGACACTATTTTGATTTGGGATTTCTTAAACGTGCCTCCCAGCGCCCAGAGTGAGACCCGCTCGCCCTCCAGAACGTACACGTACATCTCCAGATAACAGTCTGCGCCCCACCCGCTCCAGGTGAGCTGTCGGGGGTCACCTTCCAGGGGGCGGGGGGACGGCTGTGGTTAGGCTGCATGTCTCGGTGATGGGGACCCGGGGGTTCATCTGTATCGGGTGCCCCCTTCACAGAGGGCTGGGGTGAGGCTGGGTCTTTATGGCCCAGTTCAGTGAAGTCTGCCTCGGAATCCTGTGTGTCGTTGGTTTTCGTATTGACAGACGAGGTTGCTCCTGTTCCGGAGAACTTTGTAAGTAGTTTCTCCTGTCACACCAACTTAACGCCAGAAGAGTCCTCTGCGTTGGGGTGTAGGGGTCTCCTTTTTCTCTTTCCTGTCCTTCACTTCTGTCTGTAACTTAAAATCAGAAAATACCGTAACCGACACTCGAAATGGCCTGCCCCGCCCACTGTTCCCTTGAAGGGTCCTCGGAGAGGGGGTGGGTTGCGAGAGCCCCCACAACTCGCTCCTCGTCTGCACAGCGTTCGGGAAGCAGAGCCCCTCACCCGTCTCTGGGAAGACTTGGGGGCCCACAGTGGGGCACACTTGGTAACGGGGTGTCCAGCCCGGACAAGTGAGAAACCTCCTTGGCTGTGTCCTCGGGCCTGATGACCCTCTTCACTTGGGGTGCATCCCCAACTCTGAGAATCTGCCAGTGAGCCAGTGAATTCCATGCATGGCTACCATTGTAGAATGAATGTACCTAAGGGTAGCGGTGTATGTGCGTACGTGCGTATGTATGCGTAGGAGTGTGTGTGTGTGTGTGTGTGTGATGAGCACAACTCATTTTCATTGAGGAGCATCCCTAACGCTTCGCCGCTTTCCACCTGCCCGCGTTTCCCTGCCCGTTGCTACCGAAGCTGTAAGGACGGAGCGCAGAGTTGACGGGAAGGTAGGGATTGTTTTTTCTCCCCACGACAAGCTCCGAGAAGCTTTTTTTACACTTTTAAATACTTGAAAAAATGAAAAGACCATTTCACAACACATGAAAGCTGTATGAAGTTTAGGTGCCAGTGTCCGTGAACCACGTTGTGTGGAGCACAGGCGTGCTCCCTTGTTCACGTGTTGGCCGTAGCTCTTCCCGTGCTCCGGGGGCCCAGCTGGTGCTGTCGACGGAGCCCGTGTGGTGGCCCGGAGGGTCCTGAGTGTTCATCTGGCCCTTTAAGAAAACGTTCGCCGACCTCTGGTCTTGCCCCCGTCCATCCACTAGTGACGGACCGAGGGTTCTGCAGCCGGATGGCAGACTCGTCTTTTCTTCATGCTCTGTCTAATCAGTCGTGGCTGGCGGGGCGCTTCCTGTGGAAGGACTTGGGGCACCACGAGGGTCCCAGATGACTCAGTGCCACAGAGAGTCGGCTGTGCCTGCCTGCCTGCCCGTGGAGGCCAGCCACTGCAGTGACCAGTAAGCCACGTACATGGTCACTCTTCCTGGTCTCGCGTGGGACCGCACTGCGTCTTGGGATTGTAATCAGCCCCCCAGCTGCTTTCTCTCTGGATAACTCTTCAGTCAGGTGAAAAGCCCCTGGGCGGGACCTGTGCATGTACTGAGTGCAGTCCCCACGCTCACTGGACGTGGGGAACTGCAGAGGAGGAAGGCGAGAGTGATCGAACGGTTGCTCCCCCCCCTTCCCAAAACGCCCGAGAACACAGGGAAGGAGGAGCGGGCCCAGACGAAAGGCGGTTTCCCTGCTGCTCTTTCCTCTCCCTCTTCGGCCCGGCTCCCACCCTGCGGCCAGCCAGGGTCGCGTCGGCCGCCCTCTGCCTGACTGCACCCTGCTGTCCGCAGGCCACGGTTTCCTCGCAGAGCTGCCGACGGGTTCAGCGCCTTCCTCTCCCTGACGGAGCTTCGTTGAATTCCTCCCCGTACAGGCGGGTAGTGCAGACGCCCCCCTGTTGTGCTGCTCCCACTGGGGAGATGCGCCCAGCGCTCCGCCGTCCCCTCCACTTCCTGGGACTTAATTTGGGGGTTGGCGCTGGCACGCTGTGCCGGCCTGTCTCCCTCACAGGGCGCCCGTCACCGCAGCCCAGTGTCAAGAGCAGTGTCTGCTGTACTCCAAGCGCTTGTTGCTGTCTGTTCGGCAGGTGACACCCAGGGCAGGCAGGCCGTGTGTGCGCACTTTTTCCTGGGCCACCCAGGCCCGTGTCCCTATTTAAGTGCAGGTGAAATTGCAAAAAACACAAAGAGAACTCAGCAAGACTTTGGAACCAAGTGTCTGGACCGGCCAGTCCGCTGCCGAATATAATCTCCCTCCACCAGCCCCTCACCGCCACCAGGCCTCTGCCGCGGGTTCCTAATCCACTTCACCGAGGCGTGATTCGTGTGAAGCACACTGCCCCAGTCCGCAGTGTACCGCGCAACGACAGGTCTTTACAAACGCACCCACCCCGGTGACGGCCGCACAGTCGAGATGAAAACGTTTCCAGCGCCCCCAGAGGTTCCCTCGTGGCGCCTTCGTAGCCCGAGCCTGACCCGCTGCGGCCTAGCAGACCCCGCCCTGCGCCCCACCTCCAGGTTGGGCTCCGTTTGCGGGGCCGACTGCCCGGGGCCCTGCAGCTCTCCCAGTGCGGCCAGTGCGACCTGTGAACTTTGTTTTTCATTATATTTTCATTGAAATCACTTGGATTTTAATTGTATTTAATTGTACTTTACGTAAACTTAGTTCGGTGCAGCCAGTGGCCGTTTGTGGACCAGTGTCTTTCTGGAAGTTTCACTTTCCACTTGCACATCAGGTCTCTGCTCCACGCAGAGCTCGTTTCTGTGGGGCGCGGGGTAAGGACGCCGCAGCCCCTGTGTTTGTGGGGGTGGCTGGTGGCTCCAGCACCACCCGATGGAGAGACGCTCCTCTCCCCTGAATTGCTCTGGCACCGCGGCCGGAGCCCAGGTGACCCTTCACTCGCACCCTGCGTCTTGATGCTCCCCTGCCGAGTGGCCACGTGGCCATCCTTCCGCCAATGCCAGGCCGTGCAGTGAACCTTCCAGCTTTAAAAACTCTGTCTGAGCTGCTCTGGGCCCTTCAGGTTTTCACGTTCGGGTTTGAATTAGATTGTCAGGTCCATGTGGTGACCGCGGCGGCAGGGGTTGGGGCTGTGTTGACTCTGAACACCTGTGTGCGGAGCGTTTTCATCTCAGCACCTGCTGAGCCCCCGCCCGTCAGCACGCCCGCCTCTCTCTCCTTCAGTTTCTCCTCCGCAGTGTTTTGCAGGGTTTTTCTCGAAGTCTTGCACACCTTCTGTTAAGTTTATTCCATCCTTAATTGTTTCTTTCATAAACATGTTTCCTCCCTGCCTCACTTTAGCTGCAGCCGGCCTCTGCTTGAGTCTCCCTGGGCGGGGAGCACGTGGCCCGGAGCGTGGGCCCGCAGAGCTGTGACTGAGCTGCGGGGTGGACAGGCCCTGGGGCCGGGGGCCGGCGCACCCTGTGTTCCTTGGGTATGTGTTGGAAGAGGCGAGTGGTGAAATTCCAGACACCCAGACCGCCCCTCGCCCCACACACGTCACAGGTGAACCGTAGCATGTGGTGGATGGTTGTGGGCTGGCAGCTTGTCCCCGTCGCGCGGAAGGGCCCGGTTCCAGGTGCGTTGGGTTGAGGGACGAAATGGCGATCAGTGGCGCTGCTTCTGCCATCGGCCGAGTGGAAAGGAGCCCGGTGTGGCCTCTTCCAGGCCCTGCACCCAGCCCGGTGTCCGGAACGGCCGCCGTGTTACGACCCACGATTACAAATCAGTGGGAGGATCTTACCTGCTTTTCAAGCAGCACAAGTGGTGAAACCTCAAATGTGTTTGTCTCTTCAAAGTAAATTACTTTTGACAACCTTGGCAGTTAACTTCATCGTTTTTATTGCTCTTTTCCAAATTCTTTTCATTTATTGTAACATGAAAAAAATTATTACCATGTGATGCTGTAGGGTTGATGCATCATGAGAAGCACTACCCTGATGATGATTTAACCTTGGAGTAAAATCCTCACCCCTGAAACATTAGGTAAGAACACCTCTCTGTCGGGAATCCTAGCCACAGATTTATTTGCCAAATCATTTTTAAAATTTTCTAGCTCCTAAGAGCTATAGATACAGGAGTTCTCATTTTTCTTATAACCAGACATTAAGATCATTTAGAAAATAAGGAAAAAGAAACAGATAAATCAAAAGAAAAATAAAATTCTATTTGCAGTTCACCATTGTTAACTCTGCTATATATATCCTTTCAGGCTTTTTAAAATGCGGCTGATGACCACACGTTTTTCAATATTTTGTTTCTCATTGTTGTGAAATTGTTGCATGTCAGTAATGTCAGTGTTTGCCTGAGTTGTCACCTTAACGGCAGAATAATATTTGACTGTTTGGCTGTATCCTGTTGTTATATATTTGGTGACCCCCTCCCCAGCTTTTAGCTGTTATAAAGCACATCACTGATCTTTTTTGTGTGCTTTATTTTTTTTAGCTTAATCTTTGCCCAACCCTTTGACCTTTAGTTAAAATTCTAGAAATGTCTTGAGTGTCTGGGTGAAAAGACAAGACGTGTGGAGACCCTGCCCCCCCCCACACTGAGGCGAGTTGTCCCCCGGAAGGGCTGGATCGGCCCACCTCTTACCTCGGGGTGTGCGATGGAAAGCATCCGGGTGCCTCTAAGATCCCTCGTGGGGAAATAGTGGCAAATGCAGTTGAATCTTTCTTGGACGCATTGAGAAAGCTTACTTGAATTCTTGATATCTGTGAATGCTGACACCTTTTAGGAATGTTTCCCTTAAAAAAAATCAGTCTTCCCCTCACTCCCTCACTCCCACCGCCCCAATAGAATTTGAGACCTGTGACTTTTAGGTCTTCTAGATCAGTGGTGCAGTGTGGCATTTGGAAGGGGTCGTGAGGCGAGTGATTGTGAAATCGTTTTAACAGAATGTGACCTGGATGGAGTTTTGAATGGGAAACCTCAGCCTGCATCGCGGTGATGAGCCTCGTTTCGCAGATGTTCTGTTTAGGGGTGTGCGATTGTATTTACACACGTGGGTGAGTGTGGAGATCGTGATTGAAACGTGTGCCTGACTCAGTCGTGGTCAAAATATCTGGACCATTTGAAGGTTTTTTTTCTCTGTACTATCATCCTTTTATTAATGATTCATTTCACAGAGAGGTAGTTTCTGATGATTAGCATTCTGTGTAGAACAGTTACTTTGTACTTTAGCCTGCTTTTTTTTTTAAAAATAACTTCTTATTTTTGATTTAGGTTGTTTTTTTTTTAAGATTTTATTTATTTACCTTTAGAGGGGAGGGGAAGGAGAGAGGGAGAGAAAATATCAATGTATGGTTGGTTGCTTCTCATCATGCGTGCCCTACTGGGAACTGGCCTGCAACCCAGGCATGTGCCCTGACTGGGAATCGAACCGCAATCCTCTGGTTCACAGGCCTGTGCTCAGTGCACTGAGCTACACCAGCCAGGGCCTTAACCTGTTTTTGTCCACAGCGATAGTGCCTTCAGGAAGATACGGGACAGGCGCTTGTAGGTTCTGAATGTCCTAAAAGGTGATGCTAAGTACAAAAGGTGACATTAAGCATATTTTGTTAGAGGCCTACTTTTTGGCAGCCGCACTGAAAGACAGCAGGTTGTAGGCTCGGGCATCACTTTGAACTTCCACTCTCACTGCCGTGCTTCATGGTCTGGTTGGTGGTGTGGCTGTACGGGTTTGCCCCTGACAGGGTGTCCGTGAGGGGAGGTGCACACGACACCTGGCCTGCAGGACACAGAGAACGGCCGGCGCCGACCCCTGGAGACCAGGCCTGGGTGGCGTGCGCAGTGGTGCGTGCCTGTGGGTGGGCCGTGGCCCGTTGCTCCCGGTCTGCCCCGCGTGGCCGTCGTACTCACGTGGTGTTTTTTCCTCCAGGGTCTCCTAGTCTTGAACTACTGGCTACATGGCTACCAAACGCCTGCGGGAGTTCTTCACGGCTGAGGCGCGAAGCCGGAGCTGGTTCTAGACGCTGGGTAGATGCAAAGCAGCTCACTCTTCAAGCACCGACCTTTCCCACCTCCGACTCCGGCCTCCAGCTCGGGAAGGACCCCTTAGCCTCACCGACTTCAAGCAGGACAGCAGCCCACCCTCCCCCGTCCGTGAAACAAACTGAACGCTTCCCTGTAACTGGTCCGTGTGAGCGGAACACGCAGCCTGTTCTCCGGAAGTAAATTGACGGTCAGGAGAAGACTTGGCCTCTAATTTATGTTGCTTTGCACTTTGATCTGATACTGAGAAACAGCATCCTTTGGTGAAGTTTTGGGTGCCAAACACCTCCCCAGAATGCCCAGGGCTTTCCTGTGCAGGAGTCCCTCCGACCTTCCACGTCACTCCGCATTGACTCGTGGGGGGACGCGCGGACTGGGGGGAGTTCCTCTGGGTTGTGTTCGTGACATTTTGGGGTTACACTTCCTTCCCGTACCATTTCTCTTAATTTAAAGGACTGTAAGCCAGGTTGTATTACCTCCCAACCTGTAACATAGCTCTTTCTTTCGTTAACCGTGCTCTGTGCCCCAGCCACCTCCCGGTATTCGGTGGAGTAACACCTTTACACATGTGCTCGCCTCCTAATTTAAATCCCGTATCTGCATGTAGATAAAATGTACATAACAGTTTAACCTCAAGGTGGCTGGAGCCAGGGCCCCGTGCCTGAGACACTAATTCGGAGTGTGTGCGCACGCAGCCGGGGGCCGGGCTGCTCTGGGTTGCCTAGGAACCCTCCCTGCAGTGTTCATACGGTGTTTTCTCTCGTCATTGTCACGGTGTGGGTGCGGTGTGTGTTTTTACTGGGAACCCTATTTTCCGGTGTAACTTCTGAACTCCGACACGGACCGTTGTACTCGTTGTGCAGGACGTACAGCAGAGGCACCTGAACGTCACTTTTGTTTCCTCAGACGCACTCCCGAGCCCTAGCGGTCACGTCCCACAGTGTTCGTTTGACTTCACGGTCCACACCATCCCTCTGAGCGCTAGTGACCCCGGGAGGGGAGGACAGGGAGGCCCGTGCGCACCGGCCTCACCGGCCTTTGGGCCGGCCCTGCCCCCGAGTGGCAGCCCAGGTGCCAGGTGAGGCTCAGGGGCACGTCCTGAGTGGAAGGGTCTCCCGCACGGTGTGAAGCCTCAGACTGACAGCTCCCATCCCCGTCATCCCTGGTGTCCCTTGCTGCTGTGGGCCCGGCAGGTCCTCAGCGCTCCGGAGGCTCTGCAGCCTGAGTGTGTGGGCGGCGCTGCCGCGCTGACCACGCGTGGGAAGGGCCTGGGCAGCAGCCGGCGCCCCCTTCCCTCGCCCGGTATCAGGTGTTGATTCGCCCCTCGCCATTGTTTCCAAAGATCATGGGTGTCGGTGACGTGTTAAAGGACCAATGCGAACCTCCTGTCAGTGCGCCTCTTCCCCTGGAAGGTCACTCCGCTGCCGCAGGCAGGCTCCCGGCTCACCCCGGGGCCTGGCGCTGTGCACGGGTGTGTGCGTGCGCGTGCGCGTGCGTGTGCGTGTGTGTGTGTGTGTGTGTGAGAGATCTGTTTATCGGGTTGGCTTTGCTTTTCCCTTTTCTGAATACATCCTTCCCTCCCACGTGACTGAATTTCTGTTTGTGAGAAATTGAGCCTCACAGTGTAAAAAGCTAGGCCTCCATTCGTAAGGTGGGTGCTGTAAGCTTGGCAGCGGCCGTGGAAGTGACGTGACTTTCCACCGCCCGTCACCTTACAGCTGTCCCTGCGGACCAGCGAGGAGAGCCCGGGGGCGGGCGGGGGGAGGCCGTTCTGGACGAGTGGGCTTTCCGTTGTTGTTTTTGCATGTTCAATATAAAAGTTCTCATTCCTTGGGAGATCATGGCCTACGAATGTGCACACACCCTTTGAATCGTGCCTACTGAAACTATAGCAGGGGCTTCAGCACCCAAGGAATTCCGACCTTCTGGGATCATAGTGGAAATTCCCAGCCGTACTCTGGGCTTTATTTTGCTAACCCGTAATGAGCAAGTGTAAATTACTGCTACATTAATGTTTTAAAGCACTGGGGTAGTCTGATTCTAACTTGTAATTAATTATGTTTGCCAATTATCTGTTTGAAATAAATTTGTGTCTGAACAGCTATTGAAGCTGTTAAATTGTACAGATATTATTCATGACAGCTTTGTACTGTGGAATGTGCTTAATAAAAAACAAAAAGTTGACCTTTGTCCAATAAATTGCTAAGTAATGTCAATAAATCAAGTATGAGTATCATGCAGTACATCTAATCTGGCTTCGTGCAATTGTTACTTCAGCTACTAATCCAACGCCAATACTCTTTAAATAAAGTGTTGCAATACTCCTAATGTTCTGTTAAGAAATTTTTCCAAAAAAACAACAAAACCCTGTCGTGTGCTATTAGTAATTCATTGACATACAGTTAAAGTTTATAGACTTAAAAAATCATCTGCTCTGTAAAATGAGGTTGAATGCAAACTGCCTTTGGCCTGGGACAACTTGTAAGGCAGCCGCTAGTCCGTGCCCCGGGGGCTTTCCTGGCCGCCGGCCCGAGTGGCTCGGGGCCCCTCCCCAGTGGAACCCGCTTCCCACGAGCCCCACCTTGCAGCTGCTCGCTGCTTCACGTCTGCAGGTTCACACCTCACTACTCAAGTCCGAGGTGGGAAAGAACATGGCCTGGTCTGCAGGGCTCTGCTCCCACAGCCCCGAGAGGCGTTTTCCCGACAGCTGGACGGCCCCACATTCGCCCACTGATTTGTTGCTGTGCACTTCGGGGACGAAATTAGAGTATTTCTAGACAGTATTGCCCCCACCCATTTTTGTCGTTAAAAGTTTTAAAAACATGAAATTTGCATATAGTTAAGAAAACCAATGTACAAACCATGAAAAGGGTGAAAGCGATTTTCTGCCATAACCCTAAGTGCCCAATCAGGGTTAACTAAGTTTTCGCATATCTTATCATGGATAATACTCTAGGATCTGTGCATGTGCCTGTATGTATACATTTGTGGGCCCCCCCCAGCTTTTAACATGAATGGCTACACCTCCTGTCCCTTGCTTTTTCATCTGATACTCCTCAGGACATCATGCCATGTCAGTACATGTGATTCGATGTCATTTTTTGTCCACAGCTGCGTAATGTTTGGTTATAAGGTTGCACCGTTAAGTTATTTAGTTAGTTCCTTGAGGGTGGACAATTAGGCGGCGTCCTGCCTTTTACCCAGGTCTTTCTGTCTCTGCTCGTGCTCGGCAAGGTAAGCGTGGTGATTTGGGCTGACACGTAGCAGGTGTGCGAAGACCTTCCTGCACCCCTCTGATCGCCTCCTACCCTCACGTAGCTGCTGTTTAGTAAAGACTAATTTTCTTCCTCGGTAGGTGAGGTGTTACTGCAAGGAACTCACAGCTCTGAATGCACCCCATAATAATGATGGAGGTTCTGGAGGACTTGGATCTGTAACCAGAGGCCCGTGGTGCTTTGCCACATCGGCCAATTTATCTTCCCGCTACTACGGAGAAGGGAAGTTGGGCTGGAGAAGGGAAGTTGGGCCGTCTGTGCGGCCCTGCTGTTGCTGATTAGCCATGTGACTACACCCCCTTTTGGGTCCCAGCGATCGTGTGTGTGAAAGAAGGTTTCACTCCTTCAAGTCCTGGAGGGCACACGCCCCGACTCCAGGCACTGTGTCACCTTGCAGAATGGAGACGTTTTCTAGAAAGGTGAGACCCACGTTATGTAGACACACACTTTAGAACAGTTGGGTGTTTTTTTTTGTTTGTTTTTTTTAAAGTGAATTGTGGGGCACCAGCTTGCCATCTCTGAACTGACGTGATCTGAAGCATTTATAGTTGTGGTCCGCGGAAGCATGGTGCCCGAGTTCGGTGACCGAAGTCTTGAATCACAGCAGTGATTTCTGTCACCTGTGACAGAGTGGCCAGCGCACATCGGTCAATCAGTCAATGCAGGTTGGTGAACGTGACTGAAAGGGGGAGGCGTTTGAAAAGACAGGAGGGGCCAAGAGCCCGTCTGCAATCGCTGGGCACCCAAACCAGCTGCCTGCTGTTCATTGGACTGGAATTGGTTTCACGTGAGGCAGGATTTAGGCCTAAAATCACGAGGTCTTCCGGACGCAGAGAACTCTGGGAGCCCCCAGGGCTCTGAGCTGCAGCTCGTTTCCTTGCTCAAAGCTGGGCCGGAAACCTCAACAGACGTCCGTGGGATGACGGAGTGTGTGACCGTCCAGGTGTTGACCTGCCTGAAGGTGAGACGAGGCACCCGCACACCCGAGAAGGTGTGTTAATACCGGGCTCGGGGAAGCTGGGAGGGACGAAGCGGGGGCCTCCGTCCGCAGGGGCGTGCCTTAGGGACGGCTCCCAGCGCTGCTCTCACGCCGTCCAGGGAGGGCAGCGTAAGTTCCCCCCACCCCGCCCTTCACCTCCTTCAGTCCAACAGGCCCCGCCGTCGTGGAGGACTGTGGTTCACTCCCAGACACCCTGCAGCCCGGGGTTGGGAAGGAAAGCTCTCGCCACGCTGCAGCCGTGAGACCACCCCACGGGGGTCCCTGGTCTGCAGGATGGTGGGAAAGAGCAGGACTCGGGCCGGCACACTTAGCTCGGGTTGGTGTCCTGCCACCGGACAGGCAGCGGGCTCCGCGGCGAGAGCGTTTCCCACCCTGAACCTGAGCTTCCTCACCGAGGAGGTGGGGTTAAATGACGACCTACAGGGCCTGGCGCGTGGTAGGCACGTGGTAGCTTCTATGGTGGTTAAACAGATGGGACAAAGTGTCTGGACCAGAGAAAGTTACCAGGGTCAGCAGGGTCCAGGGTGGTGTGGGGTGAGACGTTTACTGTGCTCCGGTGGCCTGGGGCTGGTCTGAGCTCAGGGGACAGGCAGGAGCTGACACTTGGTCACCAGCGAGAGCCTGTCCCAGAGAGGACGGAAGTTAGAGACCAGGACCTGGGCTGTTCAGTGAGCGAGTGGGAAGGAGGGAGATGGACCAGGTGAACAGTGTTTATACCAAGTTATGTTTGTTAACTTGTTATTCAGAATCATTCAGTTTTAAAAGCAGTCAACTATCATTCTCGGTGCGTTTCTGGGAAGGGATTGAGCCCTCTATCTGCCATCACCCTCGATGAAGGAGGTCTCCAAAGTGGACAGGAGAAACCTTCGAGTCCTCGGGGTGTATGCCGGCCGCAGGGCCCGGGGTGATGGGCGGTGCAGGGAAAAGGGCGGTGCCCTCACCTCTCCGAGCTCCGTGGGCACGGAGATGCCAGCAGGCTCCCCGAGGAGCCAGGCCTCCTCCTGGCCGGCCCCCTTGCCTTAGCAGACCCTCTGCACATCTCCTCCTCCCACTGGCATGTGTGTTCGCTGGTTATTCATAAACGAACATGGTGAGCCTTCAGCAACGCACGAGGCGCGCAAGGAGCTGGGCAGGCTGGGTCCCTGGGGCCGCCTGGGCAGTTACTGGCAGGCTTTAAGCTGGGAGTGGCCAGGTAGGGAGCTAAGTGTCAAGATGCCGGAGAGAAACGTCCAGGTCTGGGGAAGACGGAGCCCGGGGCGGTTTGGAGGGGTGCTGCCTCAGCGTGGAACTATGGGACTCGGCAAGGGGCTCCGAGGGACAGTTTAGTGGGTGTCTCCCAGGCGCCACAAGGTGGCAGGGCTGGGGGCAGGGCTGTGATGGGAAGAAGAGCCCGCCCCTGCTCTCAGGAAGCTTACATTCCGGAGGAGAGGTAACACCCAGCATGGCCAGGCATGCAGGAATCTGCGGGGTAAACTCGGGTTGTGATAAGTAAGGGTGTGAACAGAGACTCAAGGCAGTGGGTGGCGGCCACCTGGGGCACATTTGTGCCAAGGTGTCAAGGACAAGCAGGAGCCAGCCGGACAGTCCCAGGTGGAGGCCAAGGAGGCCCAAAGGCCTCGAGGTGGGAATGCCCTGGACCAGAGCGGCCTGAGGGCGCTTGGACCCCCCACCCCCAAGGGAGAGAGGGCTGGTCGAAGTGGTGGCCGGTGATGCATTTGGATTTGCACTTTGCAGGTGGTGGAGAGCTAGCCCGGGGCACTGGTGGGGTTGATACTGCGGCCAGAAAGACATCGACCGCATTCAGGAAGAGGGCACAGGACAACAGCCAGTGACTGAGGCAGCGGTGCAGCGGCTGGAAAGGTAGGGACGTGATAACCCGCGGTCTTGGCGGGCCCCGTCGGCGGTCCGGGACTTGGAAAACCACTCTTGCCAAACACTTGCCCCCCAGCCCTCCAGCCCTGCCCCCCCGGCTGTCCGGGCCTCCTGGGGGACAATGCCCGTCCACTCATCGGAGGCCGCAGACCACCTCACCCACTCCCACGTCCCTTCCCAGCCAGCGCCGCACCCCCCTCGCCGCCGCCGCCCCTGCCCCTCCGGCCTTGGGCACGCTCCCTGCAGCCCATCTGCGCAAACAGACCGGGGCCAGGACTGTGCCTCAGGAATGAGGAGATAAAAGGGACCATCGGGGCTTTTCCCACCAAAGGCGAAAGCATTTTATAGAACAGGCTGTGAGTTTTTGTTTCAGGAAATTTCATCATGTCTCCAAGAAGGGGAGGGGAAATGGGGAGGGGGGTGGAGAGAGGGGGGAGAGAGAGAGAGGGAGAGAAGGTAATTGGCCTCAGATTTTCTCACTCCCTTTTCATGTTGGGAACAGGAGGCCGCCCAGGTCAGGCTGGGGTCAGAGACGTTTGGGCTTTTTAGTGCCGCTCTGTGAATACCTCGGTTCTGTAATAGTTTTTCCTTTAAAAACAGCTCTGCCTTCTTTGGCAGATGGTGACATTCCATTAGCATATGGAATATTTTTCAAAACACATCCGAAAGCATGTCTCTTACGGAGGAGACTGGGCAAGAGCAGACGCGTGTTTGAGAAGCATGCTGGGAGCAACTCCACGTTTCACAGAAGTCTCCCACTCCCAGCCCCGCCCGCCCCTCCTCATCTCCGCGCTCCTGGGTGGTAACTGTAGTCAGGAGGACAGGGTTTCCCCCCTACCCCGGAGCTTAGTCTGCTGGCTTTCCTTTGCCCCTCACGGTACACAGAGGGGGCAAGAGAGATAGTCTGAGCCCCTTTGTCGGCCTGGCACAGACCGGGAACCCTGGCACAGAGGGCAGGCCTTTGTGCTGGTGGCGTCGGGAGCAGCGGAAGAGGCTTCTTGTTTACGGAACACCTTTTGTGTGCCAGAGGCTGTGCGTTGCTGTCTTTCCCGATGCGGTCCGTCTGCCACAGCGCGGAGAGATCTCTTGAACATGCGGGTCACTGCCCTGCCTGGCACTCTCCAGTAGTTGCCTGTTGTGCTTAGTGAGAATCAAGTTCAAACTCCTTGCAATTGTTCG